TATATTTCATTTTGTATTATATCATGAGAGCCTCTTAATCATTTTGACCACTTAATCAGCATCAAACCTTTCAGCAATTGCAAAACAACCCTTTATACTAATTTTATATATCATTCTCTTGATTTTAACTTATTCAACTATATATCTTATTAATTAAGCCCAATGGTGAGAAAATGAGTGTTAAAAAAGACAAATTTAAGTCCACAAAAAGAAGGCTTATCCAACCAGCCAGCCATGTAAAGTACAATAGAGGAAAAAACGCTGTCAAAGATAAGGATTGATCAATGCCACTTGTCACAATCACATGGTGCATGCATACTTGGCTCGTACACACCCTATCAGAGCCCGGCACAAACCAACAAGCTATAATGATGAAAAATTGATTGCCAATATAATTTATTGTCTATTCATTTTTGAAACCGATGGCCGTTTATCAAACATTTATTTAATATGTATATATGTTAAAATTTAATACTATTATATACTTATCAGGTAAAATTTGGATCAATTAAAACGATATCACATGTAGCAATTTATCCCGTAAGTGCTAACCGTGGTAGGAATCGTCACCATCATTTACCAGATAAGATTCTTAGTTCTTGTCATATTCATCCGGTAAGATATGTGACTTGTTAAGTGCTTAACCGGATAAACGTTTAGTAAACAACTTCTGAATTTTTATTTTAGCTAGAATTTATGTAAATGTCTTATTTATTTATGTATATCTTATTTTTAGATTAAAAAAACAAGTATTCTTTTTACAAATACATATTTTTATTCAAGTTTTTTTTTACGTAAATATGGATCCTTACATAAATTTGTATAATGATTTTTTTCAACCTGAAAATCGAGTTTAGACAAATCTATAAGGTATTTACGTAAATTGGACTAAAACGAGAATTTGATCGGAAAAATGGCTAAAAAGTGATTTTTTTTCTCGGAAAATTGGTGATTTTGGTCAATTTTCCTATAATTGCACTTGACCCCCTTTGATTTTAATTGGATTTACATAAGTGGTCCCCAATAGTTTTTGTGAATGTGTTGGGGGCTCCACATAAGTTTCCATCACTCTTAATTAACGACAACATTCATTCCCTATCCTTCTCCTGAATCCCATTAGAAATGGACTACTCTTAGTTACAAGCCCCACTTCCCTTTTCCTTCCAAAAACCCACTTTCAAACATTTATTATTTATATAATAATATTCAAAAAAATATTAACGTATAAAAAAACAATATTTTTTAGCAACGGTGGGTTTCCAAGTCAGTTTATATGCATCGACTAATCTTTCGGACGACCACGAACGACCTGGATTGATCGCAAATGAACCTTCAAGGCCACAACGTTGTTAGTTATAAAAGCTGAAAATCGGGGGTAAAACTAGTAAATTTTTTAAAAGTAGAAGACGTTGTAAACTTACACTTTTGCACCTGAAATGCAACCAGATTGGGCTTTTAGAACGTTTAAAAAATGTTTAATCGACATAATAACATATTTTATATTATAGTCATCGCCATCGCCATCTTCGCTGTTACCGCCACCGCTATCACTATAGTCATCTCCACCGTCCCCACCGCCGCTGCCATCGACACCACCATCGTCTTCACCCCACCACTACCGTTATTATTTATATTCAACAAAGCAAACAAACAGTTTCAAATTCTTTGACAGATTCCATTTTAAATACCGTCAATCAAATGCATGATCGAACCTAATTAAATTATCTTCTAATTCATTTGATAGATCCCATTACGTGAACCAAATACCACCTTATATTTGGGAAATTCGTGACATCCCTCTGGTAACTGAGCTACACATCAAAGACACTATAAATATATCATCAACTACAATTAAATTGAAATAAGTAACAAATATTTATCGTGTAAATATTGTTTTTGTCGATATATAAAACGGATTTATTGTATTATGATCAAATTTAACTGAATATTGATAATTAAGATGTAGGCATTTTATGTTTACATAAATAATAAGTCTGAAAATATATACAACTGATATAACACAAGGTTTGTTAGATATCAACGGTTATTGATTGAATGTATACTGGATTATCATTTGGCGTCCTATAAACACATAACTTTTGTTATAGGACTCTGTTTCAGGCTCATAATACGTCAATTCAAAGCTTGAAAGAAGGAGCACGCCTTGGGTGGTACCCTAAAAACATCATTTGTACATGTTTACATACACTTTAATTTGTGTTTTTTTTGCTATGTTTTTAATTTCTGGTTTGGGCTTTATAGGCCCATCTTCTTTTCTAGACCCATTCTCTTATTTATATGTTAACGGTGTAAGTTAGACGACTAACTTCGTTTTTCATCCCAAATTTAAGTTCACGGTGAACTCGACTTTAGTCGTTATTCATTGAATCAATAAAAAGATTGTTTCCAGGTATTCACAACTCAATGGGTTTGATCTGTGTTTGATTTTTATAATGTTGCATCAGCCATCAGAGGCCTTGCCCTTACATGGGGGGCGCAACCCTTTGACGCTCGTCTAGTAACGATATAAAGTGATAGATGCAACATTTAGGAGGTAAGTTAGTTTACGTTGAACTTGTGATCTAATGTGAGTAAGTCCGTACCTGAAGCAAGGAGAAGAGGACACAAAAGGTAAATAAGGCATGATGCAAGAGCCTTGATAACCACAATACAACCACGTGTCAACTTGTCCTTTAAGGAGACAAAACCAAGTTTCTGACCAACTTCATTAATTAATTTATTAATTATATTTTATTTATATATAATCAAGCCTTTCATGTGTTTTGCGTTCTTTGATGAATATATATAAATATATATATATAGCGACTTCACACACACAAAAACACACAGTTATCGAGATGGGTGGTGCATGGTGGTCGTACAAACATGTCACTTGCATTGACTTGAAAGATACGCCCATTCAAAAAAAAAAAAAAACACACTCTCTCTCTCACACACGTATGTATATAAGAGAAAGTAAATTGACTCGAATGATATATCTACATTTAAACTGTAATCTAATTATTTTTCTTACGAGTTTTATCTTTTCACGTCTTTCGAAATCACATGAGTTTTCGTTTGAACCCTTCCTCTCCATATATATATATATATATATATATATTCTTTTTTGAAATATATAATACTTATATGCATCAATTACTCACACATGTTCACTTTTGATCGGGTTTGAATCAGGGACGGACCCAGAGGGGTAGTTGAGGTGGCACGTATTGTTTCTCCGGTAAAAAAGTTAGGTTCGTGATAGATGCAACCGCGTTGTTTTAGAAAATGCAACCGTTTTATATGGTGTCACCGTATCCAAAAATTCTTGGATACTTAGCATATTTTTAGGTTGCACTCCATATATCGATAAGGTAAATGCCAGTAGGTCAATGACACTTTCATAGCTTAGCTGTTTAAAGAATATATAAATGTGATACGAGTGTATACAAAACAAGAAAGAGCAAGCATATTCAAAGTTTGATGGGGATGCATGCTTTCTTTAATTGGAAAGCTATCCATGCTTGGACTTTCTTTCCAACATCTTCTGGATTAATTGTATTGAGTTTACCTTTACAACTCACTATAAACTTCATAAATTGCTTAAGGGGGGCGATTGCTATATATATATATATAGGGAATGATTCAAAGGAGAACACTATCATTTTATGAGAATGCGAGAACACATTTTTATTATAGACAATCACATGTGATAATATTATTCCATCATATATGACACATATATGATACTAAATCAAAGACGCAGGTGATTTTCGATGCGATCTTGGTTGCGGGCCAAGTCGGCTTTTACACCACCAAGTCCCTTCACAAGTATTATCACAAGTGATAAGGCTATTGTTAATGAGATACTATGTATAATTCATCAAGACCATCACATACGATGCTAAATCATAGACGCATACATCCTTTGGCGTGACCTAAGTTGTAGAACACGTCGTCCGCACATCACATGGTCTCCTCACGCATATTATCACATGTGATAAGGGTGTTTTCGCGTTCTCATAATTAACACAAATATATATGATATAAATATTATATATATACATACATATACATATATATATATATATACCAAACAAATCATGCATGGGAAAACTAAAATGTAATTTGAAATGATGTCAGAAACTAAGTAAAATAGAAGTTTGATCAGAAAATAAGTATGGTAAGGTGGGTATGATTCAAGATTGATAATCGAATCTCTGACTAATCACCATTGCCTTCATTCACCCCTTTTTCTATTCAATCTTTTCGTACTTTCCATGTGTTCTTCATTTCTCATGCTTTTTTCTTAATCAACCATCCCTTTATATTCCATCTTCACATTCTTTTATAAATGTAATCAACAATGAAAATGAAATGAAATGTGATACATAAGCCAAGATAATGAAAAGTATGTTTTTTGTACATAAACAAAAACAAAGTTTATTAAACAACAAAAACGAGAACAAGAAGAGGGTGGTCCGGATCCGTAAGATGCGGGAACCAAGATCAAAGGCGGAAAAAACCACAAGAAAAGCAAACAACATCGATTAGCCAATGAAATACGAGCATAAAAGAATACAAACAGGGACCAGAAGTTAAGGAACCCGAACAAAATAATAACATAAAGATGACCAAAATTAACATATAAAAGAATCTTCGATCACCCGTCTTAACGGTTCAACCAATCAGTGCATGCAATCATGAAAGTTTTTGGTTCTCGTAGAAATCTACGTATACAATGCTAACTACATTTGAACCAAATTAGGATTGGTGCTCCTTAGCAAAAACAACTCTGTACTTTGTGAATCTCCATAACATATATAATAGAAAAAACACATCTTCATCATCTTTGGTGAGGTTTGAACCTCTGATTTTCTAGGAGACTAAAGACTACAATACTCTATAGAACAAAGTCACTTTGGTTACAAGAAATTCTTTATAATCAAATAAAACTTTGATTTTAAAATGCTTCATGTTATTAATTAACAAGTGGGAAAACAAGATCTTTTAATATTTTACAGATTTTCGTGAATATCAAGTCTTTCAAAGGTGTGCAGATTTCAAGAAGACATATATTTTAGTGAAGACCATGTTGGAACCCTAGCTAGGTTTGACTGTGGTGCGTGCTTTGAATCGTCTATAAAACCCCACATGCTCTTCTCCATATCTCTCTTTAACCGTCTTATATTATAATCTTGGGCAGTAAAGAAATCCTAGCAGCTACCTACAAAGAAACTATTACTTAACAATGGTGTTCATGAGATTTGATGAAGGCTTCATAGTAGTAGCTCTTCTCCTTGTTTCATTTGGACTCCAAAATCTTTCCATACATGCATATGCTGATCATCACCAAGGTCCTTATAACTCTCTCTCTCTCTCTCTCTCTATATATATATATATATGTATGTATGTATGTACTGATCAATGATGACTCTGTCTCTTTCTGATGACTTGTCTCTTTCTGTGCTAGAAAGGAGATTAATGGGAGTAAACTCAGCCAAAGGAACTCAGGAAACTGATGGATCTTTTGATCAGAAGGTAGTTTTTTCTAGCTACTCCCTAAAAGCTATCATCATCAACAGTTAAAACCTAATGATTCCTAATAGGGGTCTGAAACTAGTGACTGAATTGATCAAGACTTTCTATATACTAACATAGTGTGTCAATATTCTTATTGTTGGACCTTATCATCAATCTTTTTCTGGGTTTGTCACATTTTATAGACTTATTGCATTCAAAACTCCTGAGCTGCAGGTGATCATATATATATATATATATATATATATGCTCAAAAGGGTTTCCTTTCTGAACCTAACCCTATATATACATATGAATATAATTATGTATTTAATGATTATTAATTTGAGCAGAAAGTTGTTTCTGGGATGGGATCAAAAGAAGTGATGAGAATGGGAGGAAGGAAAATGGGAATGATGTTGAAGAAAGAAGATGGAGAAATGGTTTCAAGATCATCAAGAAGCACTTCAGCAGGTGATGATGCCCAGAAGTTGAATGTGGAAGCAGGTTTTGTTGCTTTCACTGCTGATTATCATGTGCCAAAACACCACCCTCCTAGGAATAATTGATACACAGGCAATAATATATTACTGCAATTGTGTATATATATACATATATATTATATATATTTCTTAATTTAATTATAATTAAATCACATATCCCTCTTAATTAATTAATATTATATGTAATACATTTTCTTTAATTAAAACCACATATTCTAAGCCTAAAAATGCAGTTATTTGACCTTCAAAGTCATACTTTTTGAATTTGGATAGAATATTATGGTAACCCAGTAATTTAATTAACTTTTTATAATGATTTTAGCATTAAAAGATTTGTTAATTTTGGGTCAATTATAAGCTTCATTGAAGTGTAATATTATATGGGAAATTGACATACTTTGGTTGTATTTTGATGAACAGATATCAATGCTGCAAAGGAAGGACCACAAGATTTCTTGAATAACCAAGTAATTCATCATTTCATATCCCCTCTCCTTCGTTAATATGGACGAGCACGTGAATTTAGAGACGTGCCCACTCTCGTTATAATCTTATATCGTCTTTTAATGATGTTTTTAGTTCATCCGTGACACGAATCTTGTGCATTCACGTGCACATATATCTTAGAATACACACACACACACACACATATATATATATATATATATATATATGATACATTATTAACACATATTAATTACTTTGTTCGTTGCAGGGACAAGAAAATACATCGGAGAGGATGACAATAAACCCTAGCCAAAGCTCGCAAAAAGTCGCAAGTTCCAAAAGTTTTAACACAAACAAGATCTTTCCAGAAGAAGATACGGGCGATGAATGGAAAAGGCTACTTGAAGATGCTGACAAAAAGGTTATGCAAATGATGCGAAGGGATTACAGTGGCATGAGGAGGCCTCGTCGGAAGCCTCCAATCAACAACCACGAGCCCAGAAACTGACTATAACCGAATAGCGGTTTGGTTCAGTATGTGATTTTGAACTTCAAGAAAGAAAAATAAGCCAAAAAAAGAGTTAGGTTTAGGCTCACAATTTTGGTCCTCTATAGAAGTGAAGTCCCCTAACATATATAGATAGTGTTAACAAGTAGCAAAACCCAAGATGGTATTATTTTTCTTTTTGGGTGTTTGTATTTATTTGTTTTTTTTTAATAGAAGGGTCAGGAAGAGACTAATAAAAGGGTTTGCTAATCATACATAAAGGTTTGTTAGCTTAGTTATGTGAGATCATGTAGTACTCTATGCTTTGAAAGTTGTATTTTATGGGTGTGTTTGATACATAAAACATGACGGAACAGAATAAGACGAAGTTGTCACTACAATAAAATTGGGTTTATAGGACACCCCTAATCTCTAAGTGTCTCAGTAGACCGCTTTATAAGACTTAATTTATAGGACTAAAATATAAAGCGTCCTATCTAAATGTGTTGTAATAAGTTTATATGACGTTTTTGGGCGTTTTAACAAGTTTTTTTAGGACATTTTTAATACAAAGTGTCGCATTAGCAACTTTATAGGACACTTTTGAGAAAATGTCCTATAAACTCATTTTTTATAGGACACTTGTTTTTATAGGACAATTTTTCAAATAGTGTCCTATAAAGTTACTAATGAGACGTTTTATATTAAAAGTGTAATAAAAAACTTATTTATTATAACACCTTTAAATATGACACTTTATTTTTTTAGTCCTATAAATTAAGTCCTATAAAGAGGTCTATTAGGACGCTTAAAAATTGGAAGTGTTCTTTAAACCCGATTTCGTTGTAGTGTGTCTTGTATTGCCTTTGACTAACATACAATTTTTTTTAATAAACTCGAAAATAAGCAAACTTATGCTTATCAAACAAGACCTTTGAGTTGCCATATGGTCGAGCCTTGGTCGTATGAGGGAACCTATAATGCTTGACTTGGGTTTTGTCAAGCTGAATACGATATATGATTTGTGTATGTTCAGTGTCACGAGTACGTGGGATGGAAGGATTATTACGTTTTGCATACCGGGAAATAATCGGGCATGGTCTTCTTACGGATATCTCATCTTTGATGGTTGCACCATCGGAGTTTGATGAATCTAGTCGGATATTGCGTAGATAAAGGACAACGAATGTTAATATATGAATACATGAGTAATGGAAGCTTGGCAAGTTTTGTATATAGTACGTCAAGAATCATTCGTCTCTTGTTGCTTTGACTCGTTCCAGTTACTCCCTTCGTCCGACAACAAATGTGTGGGATGAAAAACATACAATTTTAGAAATATGTAATAATTTACACTTTTTGATTAAGTAAAGTGACAATTTTACCCTTGATAACAAACGGAGTAATGAATATTTCTATCTCATAGTTAAGAATAGAATTGGAAAGTAGCGGTTGTTTGCTTTTGAAAGTGGACACTTATTTTAAGACAAATTAAAATAGAAATATATATAGACGCTTATCTTGGTGTAACGGGAGGGAGTATTAATAAGATATCGTTCCACATTAGATACATAACTCAATTATTCATAAGTTTGATAAAAAATGCCCAAAATAGAAAAAAATGGCTGAGTTTCTACCTCGTCTGTTCGTCTCGTACTAAATTAGGAAGTTTTCGTGTTATTAGATGAAGACGAACACACATTGAATTGGGAAGAAATTAAGACTTCAAATGCCCGCGATATTTCACATGGGATCGAGTACCTACATGACCGGCTTCGTCCTTTTTTATTTCTTTCTCCTTTCTTGTGGTTACTTATTCAATGATGGATGTTTACATACATATATTCCTCGAGTAGGCGATTCCACCAGTCATACATCGGGACTTGATCAGTCTGCAAACATATTACTCGACCACTTAACGAGAGCCAAGGGCAGGGTGAGATCTCAATTGAATGATCGACTTTTCAAACCACTTATTTGGCGTTTTGTTACAAATTGTTAGTTTGAAAAAATGCTCATAGGTGCCTTGAGAAACTTACAACCGAATGGATTGCTGATTTTGGTCTGTCAAAAGAGATGTTTACGATGGTCGAAACTCGAGCCTTACAGATACACACGGCTACATCGATCCCGTGTATATATCCACAAACAAATTCACAACGAAGAGCGACATCTGCAGTTTCGGGATCATTCTTTTGGAACTTATTAAAGCCATTCACCCATATCAAAATCTCATGGAATATGTCAATCTAGCAAGCTAATACATCCATTTCTGAATCTTTCAACATCTTTAGCTTGAAGTATATACAACATTTATATATAGACACCTAATACCATCCAAACTCAACATCTGTATGACACTTTACCCTTTTCCTTTTTTAACTGATCTGAATCTAAACTGTCATTTATCAAGCACTTATCGGATAAGCGTTTATCAGGGTCACTTATCATACCAAATGAGTATGACAACGATCAAGAATCTTTCCTGGTAAGAAGCATAGCAAAGACCGAGAATCTTCTTACCCAGTTAAGACTTACCGGAACAGATGCTTACCAATAACCCATTTTATTGGTAGATATTACCCAATAAGGGTAGTAATGACTACTGCCTATTGCTGATAAACCTTACCCCGTGAGCATTTGGTAAACGACCCCATCCACACAAAATGTGTGAAGTTACCAGCAACAAAATGGGAAAAAGGGCCACAATGCCATTGATTCATTTCTCTATGTAAAGTATACATACAATATCTTTTGGAAAAAAGATTACTGCAATAAGAGGCTCTTTTCAGATGCAAATAATAGATTTCAATCAGGATTCAGCTATGCTTGTCATCTTTTTCAACTGATTTTGTTGTAACTCGATGCACCCAACGACACCCGAGAACTCTTCGCCTGCAAACGACATTGTGCTATCTTCCCTGACCAACCGCCTCTGCTTTAACTTCATTATGGCTTGTGAGACCTCCCCCATTGAAGGCCGTTTTCTTGGTGTCTTATGTACGCATCTGTGTGCTATTCGTGCCAAGCTCCTCACTTCTTCGGGATCACACTCACCAACAAGCTCCTTATCAAGAATTTCATCTATCCCGTCTGAACTCATCGCCGCCTTTTAACCAAATAAAGTGAAATTTTTATTCCAAGAAACTAGTTAAAACTAACCAAATGATGATTGATCCAAAAATATCCGAGTTACTGGTAGAGCACAACCTCCTTGGAGGTCAGAGGTTCAAAAAACACCAAAGGGTAATTAGCCCAACAATATCCAGGTTATTGGCAGAGCCCAACCTTTTTGGAGGTCAAGGGTTCAAAAAACACCAAAGGGTGATTGGCCCAATAGTATACGGGTCACTGGTAGAGCCCATCTCCTTAGAGGTCAAGCGTTCAAGAAACACCAAAGATGAGGAGTGTCTGTGGTATTTGTTGTATATAAATATTAGAGGGAGGTTCAAGGGGAAACCAAAAAAATGAAAAAGTAAGGAACATGGTGGCAACCTTCATTTGGACGGTATGTACATGTGCATACAAGTAATTGAAGTTGTTTCTTGGTTTTTATGCACGTGTGCATGTTATGCACATGTATATACCGGACAAATTGCTTACTAATTACTTGTATCCACATTTGTCCGGTATGCACATGTGCATAACATGCAAACGTACATAAAAACCAAGAAACAACTTCCATTATTTATATACACATGTGCATAGCATCCAGCTGAACTGTTATCAGGGTGTTCCTAATTTTTCATTTTTTATAGGTTTTCCTGAGCCTGACTCATAAATATTATATACTTGAGAAAAAGGCTATAACTATTGAAAGATTTAGAAACGGACGGTATTAGCTTACTAGATTGACGTATTCCATGAGATTCTGATGTGGGTGAATGGCTGTAATGAGCTCAAAAAGGATGATCCCGAAACTATAGATGTCGCTCTTCATTGTGAATTTGTTTGTGGATATATACACAGGATCGATATAGCCATATGTACCTTTAAGTCCCGAGTTTCGACCATCATAAACCTCTTCTTTTGACAAACCGAAATCAGCAACCTATTCAGTTGTAAGTTTCTCAAGTCACATACGTGCCTTTTCCAAGAAAAAACAACGCAAAACCACAGATCTAGCAACTAATATTCGAGCCAAATAATACAACGTTCTTGAAAAAACGCAAAAGATCTTGACACTCTGCAAAACGATGCCCAATACGATCTTCTTTTGAGAATTCTATGTACCCACAATTTGTCCGAAATCGTTGGTTCTTATAAGGTGTAGTATTTAGTACGGAAAATGACTAATTTGTAGCGGAACACCAAATAGAGTGGTTCGAAAAGTTAATTATTCAACTAAAATCTCACCTTGGCTCTCGTTAAGTGGTCGAGTAATATATTTGCAGACTTCAAGTCTCGATGTATGACGGGTGGAACTGCCTGCTCGAGGAATACATGTATGTAAGCATCCATCTTTGAACACTTAACCACACGAAAGGGAGAAAGAAAGAAAAAAAGACAAACCCCATCATGAAGGTACTCGATTCCATGCGAAATATCGAGGGCAATTTGAAGTCTTTCTTCCCAATTCAATGTGTGTTCGTCTTCATCTAATAACACGAAAACTTCCTAATTTAGTACGAGACGAACAGAAGAGGTAGAAACTCAGCCAATTTCTTTCTATTTTTGGCATTTTGAATCAAACTTATGAATAATTGAGTTCTATATCTAATGTAGAACGATATCTTGATACTCCCTCCGTACCAAAATACGTATCCAAATTTCTATTTTAGTTTGTCTAAAAATAAGTGTCCACTTTCAAAAGCAAACAACCGCCTTACTTTCCAATTCTACCCTTAACTATGAGATGGAGAGATTCATTACTCCGTCTATTATCAAGGGTAAAATTGTCACTTTACTTGATCAAAAAGTGTAAATTATTACATATTTCTAAAATTGTATGCTTTTTCATTCAACACATTTTGGGCGGAAGGAGTAACTGGGATGAGGCAAAGCAACAAGAAACGAGTGATTATTGACGTACTATATAGAAAACTTGCCAAGCTTCCGTTACTCATGTATTCATATATTAACATTCGTTGCCCTTTATCTACGCAATACCCCACTAAATTCACCAAATTCCTGTGGTGCAACCTTCCAAGAAGAGATACCTGCAACAAGACCATGCCTAATTATATCCAAGTATGCAAAACGTAATAATCTTTCGGACATAGAGTTGTCACATTGGACTTCATACACGAATCATATATCGTAAACGGCTTGAAAGCCCAAGTCAATCCGAGCCGGCTTATTTGATTATTCGAGCCTAAGTTCCCTCGTATGACTAGGACTCGGCCCTGTTCGGCAACCATAAGCTAAGCTTATTGAAAAAAAATCCTGTTTGGTTAATCATAAGCTAGCTTATAAGCTAACTTATTGAAAAACTACTTCAGGTAGCGTTTCAATAAGCTCCAGGGACATTTTTTTCCAATTGTGTCCCCTTATATTTTTCTGATTAATTTTTCAACACTTGCTTTTATGTAATTTTACATTGTCATCTAGCTTATCAGCTACATTTTACCAAACATAACTACTAGGAGGCATAATGGCATATAAGTAATTTCACATAGAAAAACTCCAAGGAAACGACAATTACCTCGGTTTGAAATTCTTTCTCCCCTTGTTTGGAATCAGAAGCAAGAGCCTTCACAGCAACAACTTCACCAGTAGGCATTGTAGCTTTGTACACCGGACCAAAAGACCCTTGTCCCAAAATGGTTGTAAAGTTTTTGGTAGCTTTCTGTATGTCCCTGAAAAAGAAATGGGATCAAAAATGTGCTTCAAACCAACATAAATATATGTAATTGTTCGATATATATACAATAATTTAAAAAATACATGAATTACAATAACACCAATCCTGTTACCACCATTTTAACTTGTTGACTTGTATCTGTATTTAAAGATATGATAAGAATTCAAAATCACATATTATCGTGAGACAAAAGAAATTTTAGAAGAGGCAATATTCGAGAACCTGAAAAGAGTCAATCTCTAATATAGTGTATGTGTAAAAAATCACAACGGTGCCCTTAAAGATATGACAAGAGTCCATTAAAAGGTTGATGTAGTCGATGTAAGTCGGTTACATATATTAAATTGTGCATATGTTTATATATATATATATATATAAACACACACATATATATATGGCTTAATCATTTGAGAACTCTAAAATTCGTGAGATCCGTGAGAACTTCTACCTTAAAATTTTGTTTCACATGAACACATTGTGAAACAAATATGCATTAATATCTACAGTAAATTCTAGTCATAGATGAACAAAAATTCATATGAAATAGCACATGATGCACTGGTTCTCAAAGATCTCACGATTTAGAGAGTTCTTAAAAGAAGCCCCCCCCTATATATATATATATATATATATATATATATATTATGTATGTATGGCATAAGCAAATGAAAACCTTAAAAATGATGAGAACCAACGAAACACATTGATAAACGAATGATATTTGTTAAAAAGGTTCGCAAAATGTAGCATGTTTCTTTTTGCACTTTTAAAGAACGGTTTGTTTCCAATAAAAAAAAAACCCAAGAAAAATGGTCCAGAAAGTCGATATTTCTTCTTTAAGGCTTTTGAAGAGGGGGGGGGGAGGGTACATGATATTCCAAATAAAAAGGATTGAAGATTTAAAAAAACATACTTGTAAGTGTATCTTGGTAGGCCAGATGCCGAAGCTAATTGTTCTTTACCATTTTTGTTCCATTTTGATAGCAGGGAAGTTTTTGCAGGATAAGTTGAAACTTTAACGGTCACAGAACTCGCGAAAGATTCACTCAAGATGTTACTTGTGTCTACCCCATTTTGACGAATAGGAAGTGTTGATGGAGAGTTGTCATTTGCACATTTTCGAAGATGAGCACGCCTTCTGTACCACCGTACGCCAAAGAATGCAAGTGATGCTAGAAGAATGCCAACAGCCAAGCCAACGCAGACTCCGATGATCACTAAATCAGCTTTGGGTACCATATTTTCGGTCTCTTTGTAGCATCAATGGGAACATCTTGCAAGAAACCTACATCATCAAAATGTAAATTTAATTATAAATTATTCCTTTAATTAAAATTTAAGCCAACAACATGTACACAATCTTCCATTTCAATGTGCAATAACATAAAAAAATGGCTTCGTTTCGAATTGATTTATTTTGGTGACTCGTCACAATATGACATAGGAAGCATGTAACTAAGGCTTTCCAAGTCTCATGATGGAAATTGCAACATTCGACTTGGAGATAGTTTCAGGGAAGTCTTTGAAATTCATCAAATCTCTAAAACACCCTTTTGACGATAACAAAATAAGATAATCTTGTAAATCCAAGTCAAAAATCGAAAAAAAATATTGTAATGTTGATGACGGGCAGAAACGTTCGAGGGTTCTATTCTCTTCATACCAAAATAAATGTCCATAATACATAGTTCTAGAAATGTGTAATTATTAGAGCATCTCCAATAGCTATGCTATTTAGAAATCTCGGAGATCTGAGAAAAGTTTGCTCCAACAAATATGCTAAACTCTCCTCTAAACTAGAGAAAAGAAAGGAGAGAAAATGGCGAAATCTCCAAATTTGCAAGAGAGAGAAAATATAGCATACCTGTTGAAGATGCTCTTACATTTTTTTAATCAACTAAATGACAACTTTACCCTTTATAAGCGTAGACGGTAATGAATTTCTCCATCTCATAATTAAGGGTAGAATTGGAATGTAAGCACTTACTTTTGAAAAGTGAACACTTATTTTCAGGACAAAACTAAAACATAAATGGGGACACTTAATTTTTGGCATGGATGGAATATCATGTCCCAAAACTCCATCCGCCCCAAAATAGAAATTGTTTCAAATTTCACAAGACACTGGAGTTCTATGTTTCTGTCCTTTTTAGAACGATCTTTTATCAAAACCATCGTCAAATATAACAAAATCCTTTTGCTGTATGACAAATAAACACCTAAATTCTTTATAGAAACAGAAACAATGATCATTATTCAAGAAGGCAGAACGATCAATGCCCTTATAATGCCTTAAAAATCTCAATTGATATCACACATCATGATTACCGTTACACAAAGATTTACGTTCAATTCAAATGCTTATCAATAAAGAGGGTAACTGGGATTTGGGGGGTGTTAGGATTGGGGATGATTTGTGGACCGGATGATCTCGTTGGATCGTGAAAGTCCACTTTCCGAATACAATAATCTGTCCCTTAATCCCTTGGGTATCACAGATTTCGTATTGGGATAATCCACGAGAAACTCTTATCTAAAAGGCCGTAAGATTGAGTTCTTATATACACCCATGTTCTCGTTTACATATTTATATGAGAGATCGACGGTTATGGATGGTTAAAAACGGTTATAACCATTAATGAATAAGATATGAGAGTAGTTACAACTGTCCCAAAGTCAAAGGCAACGTTAGACAAAGTCCAGAGCTCTGATCATACAGATCAGAGATACCCCTGACCCAAAGACCAAAGGCTCTAATCATGCGGCTCTGTTACACGGTCCAGAGCTCCGATTACACTATCTCTCATCCATACTTGGTCAAATTTCCAACAATTTCAAGAAGGTTTCCAACCTTCTGGATTTTATGAAGAGTTAAGACTTGGGAGTGTTTTAGCCCTTGAACCCTGCTAGGGACGCTGGCCCTAAAACCCAGCAAGGGGGCTCAGCCCCCTTGACCCCTGCTGCCTTATGGCGATCTACGGTAATAAAGACAACATTTGCGTTATGAGTGAGCACTACACACCTCCTAACTCACTTAATTTTCCTTATCCCCAAATCTATATCTAACGTAAATCAGGATCACACTAAAATGATTGATGACACCAATAATAGTGGTCCCCAAAGAACCCTAATTAACTCGATCACTCAACCATACTCAAAACTAACATCCCAAATTCGAATCAAGTTCTTTTCAGCAGAATTCATAACACAAATAAGCTATTCAAAACTTCAAAGTAACATCAACTGAGCAGATAAAAATCAAGGTTGACCAGCACACGAATAAACAGTCAAACAAGAAATTTAAGGATGAGCAAATCCAAAAATCACAAAACCTTCCCCAAGTTCATTACATGATGATTTCACGATCCCCTTATTCGCACTCTCATCAAATGAATCTGGTTTTTGCTACAAATCGAGAACGAACAGCAATTACCAATGAACAAAAACAATCACAGAAGAAAATTGGATGGATGTTTACCTTTCAATTAAGACAGAGAGATCGGGTTGTAGTCAGTGGAACAATGGAGAAAAGTTGACAAAGAAACAAGACCGAGTCTAGTGGTTTTGAGTGGAAAAGGGGATGGTTTAGTAAAGTGTAGAAATTAAAGAAGGGTCTACCAAGATGACGACAATTCGCAGTTTCCAAGTTGGGTTTTTGGTGAAGCGAATTCAACGAAATTGTACAAATTGTTTAAAGTCAATCAAGGAGTAAGGTGTGGTTTCGTTTATTATGTCTGTTTTGAGCATGTTGCTTGCAAACAACAATGTATCTATATTATTATTTAGGGTGTGTTGATACGTAGACTATATGGGATATGACAGGGATAAAAAAAAGTTTAATGTTTGGCGTGTCATGGACAAAAAAAACATAGGACAAGATGATACTATTTTTAATTTTAGTGGGACAAATCTTGATATTTCTTGTTCCATCAAAAAAGGTGGAACAACATAGAACTAAAGTTAAAATGATAATATTTTAATTGATTGGTTGTCATCTTACAATCATTATATGATATAAAATAAAATTGAACAATATTTACGGGTAATATGATCATTTTAATAGTTTTGTCTTGTCCTGTCTTAGTCGTACCAAACATAGGACAGACAATTAGTCATATCCCATATGTCCAGTCTGCTTACCAAACACTACCTTAGGGATGTTTGAAATTGCTTATTTGAAATGTTTTTTATAAAAACACTTGTCAACTTATAAAATAACAAATTAAACTTAATACAAAAAAGTGAAAATTAATAAATTATATTTGATTTTTTATAATATATATTAATTTATAAATAAAATTATGTTTTATAAATGAAAAAAATTAAAAAGTTACTAGATCCTTGACTAATAAAAATAAGTCGCCCCTGGTTTGAGGCAGCAGTGGGAGTTATATTTGGGCAGTTACTTTAGGATAGAGCGAGTTCTTTTAACCATTAATCCTTTTACTTAAATAAGAATCGTAAATATTATGAAAACCTCTAAATCAAACTATTTCATAAATAACTCCAAACATTGATAATGAATAAATCATGATAGTTTCAAAAATAATAATATTCATAATGAATAAACCATGGTAGTTTCAAAACTATTTACGGTATTCATTCAAAGCTGTCTCTAATATGTTATTATTTCAAAGAAAGAGCAAAATCACTAATTTTTATCGGTTGAAATTAGTCGAACTAATGAATAATTGGAAGATATGCACGCAACTTTTGGGATATAGATTTCAAGATGGTGAAAGAATACACAACAATATCATCATCACATGTGAATATTTTGGAGTAGAAAGTAATTTCATCCCCACAACATTAAAATATGAGCAATTTTAGGCTGGGACTCAAAATTTCATCGAAAAATTTACATACCAACAGGCAACAACACAGCCATGGATACACTTCAGCCTTTTCCAGCATCAATTGCAGCATACACAAACTCCTCGCAATTCCCCGATCGGCTCGACATCACGTCTGCCAGAACACCGATCACATCAAATGCCTCCTGTAAATCGGTGGCCGAAGTCATGTCGTCCAACCACGATAACATCTCCTTCGAAAACCCTACCATCTCTTTCACATTCAATAGTTTCTCCTTCATCACCACCTCCCAACCTTCCAACTTCTTCTCTTCGTTCTCCCCCGACGACTCTTTTGACTCGTCTCCTCCTGCATTGGCAACGGATTTCTTTTGCACCTTGAAGTATCGTTGAAGCTGCTCGATTAAACCTGTGTAAACGAGCATCGGCTGGATTATCGTCAGCAGTTCCTCTGGTTTTGCTCCATCAGACTTCGTGGGAGTAGATGGCGATGATAATGATGACGATGGTGAAGGTGAAGATGATGGTGATGGTGATGAGTGATGGGTTGATCTGCCATGAGTCCGCTGCATGTATGCATGGTATATACCGCGCTGCAAGAAAGCACGGCGGTGTTGCAACCAAGATTCGTAAGATTCGGAAAGAAGGGAACTGACCATCATAAACTGAACGGTTTCCTCTGTTCCGACAGAAGGAGCGGTGGGGGATTTGGATTCCGGTGAGGAAGAGGCAAGATATGATCCCACAGACTTGGCGACATTGTGTCGTTGAGAAGAATCATGATCGAGAAGATAACGAGCCATCTGGATCATGAACGGAAGGAATTTTGAGTTGCTCTCTTTTCCGCCACCTCGGCTGTCAGTGCTGAATGACGCACCCGTCGCGAATCGTGCAAGCATCTGCAACATAAATTATATGGCATTAGAAACAAATCAAAATAAAATCGCTCCTGTTTTTTTGCTTCTGGTTTTTCACAACCCAAAAGAAGTGAAATGCATGATTCATAATGAATATTTATGGTTCTCATTTTCCATCATGAATAATACATGAAATAGTTGGTTCTCGTGTTCTCAAAATATTTATGGTTTTCATTTTCCATCTCCGTCTTCGTCTTCATAATACAAGCAAGCCATAGAACTGGTAGCTCATTTTAACGTGTTGATGTGTGTTTTACAGAGGAAGAAGAGAAAAACACAAAAACAAGGGGAAAACATGCATACCAGAACTATATCATAAGTCAACAACCGAAGTCGACTTCCATCAGCACGTCCAAGGGCGTTGAGGTAATCCCAGTACTGATCAACATAACGCGTATATTGAGCAAGAGGAACAGCAGGGCCTCTTAACGGATACAGATTATTGCAAAGTGTCTCGTTGTTTCGGAGGGCGGCCCCATCCCATTCCTTCTTCGGATTCTTTAGTGCTGCATCTGCTCTCTTGGCCTCCTGGTGGCACTGGAAATGTATGATGTTGAAATGGCTAACGRTCGTATAAACGCAATCACCACGAGCACTTCCTGAAGTCCCGACACCCAGATTCACCCTCTTACTGAACGTGTAGACACCAAGTAAGTCCATTGGTCTAAGACTATATCCCTCTCGGCATACCATACAAGCCAACCCATCTTCCTCCTCTTCCATCTCTTCCAAACCTTCAAGGATTGGCTGAGCAACAACTATTCGTTTCCCACCATCAGAAGCCAATTCTTGACGCATCCCAAGTCCCTGTTCACCGCACAACAAAAGAAATGAAAGAAAAAATAATCAAAACAAGCTCTCAGCTCTAAGGTGCATAGCATCCAACATCACAAAACGAATATCGTTAAGCAGAGAGGCAGGCAGGTAAATACTCCCATCAGTCCAAAAATAAGCGACTAAATTTAGAAGTGTGTGTTTACTTTCCAATTCTAGCCTTAATTACGAGGCAGAAGAAATTCGTTACTCCCTCTGTTATTATGGGTAAAATTGTCATTTAATTATTAAAAAGTGTGGGACAGAGAAAGTACAATCATACACGAACTAGCCTACTACTAGAATAAGTCCTACATTCACACACTGAGCCTACATTTGTTTCCGCCCTCAAATCCAACAGTTCCACAGCATTCAAGGAATATCATGAACAGAATTGCTGTTTGTTACTCCATTCTTAGATTTTGAAGCTCCTAATATCAAACACTAATTACAGAATCCGTACACTACATCCATAAGAAAACCAGAAAGCCCGTTCATTATACAAAAACATACCAAAGGGTCATTGGCCCAGCGATACCAGGGGTTATTGATGGAGCCCAGACTCCCAGGAGGTCAAGAGTTCAAACCTCACCAAAGGTGAGAAGTGTCCATGGGTATTTGTCGTATATAAATATGATATACTTCAAAAAGAAATTCCCCATGCTAGTTTTTTGGCACGTAGGATGTAGTGCACCACAGTTTTGTCAATAGGGCCTGTTTGATTAGTTTTCCATCAAGTCCTGTACGGATGATGTTGTCTGTGTGGATTAGTCTGTCTGTATATATCGGGAAGGTCTTTGTTTGGGAGGACTTTTTATAGATGGAAGGAGCGAGTTCTTTAATTGGGAGGGGGAGGTTTGGAAAAAACTCGGCTTTCTGCATAAAGCTCCCCCCAACAAGCTTACCGAATAAGCCACTTTCTATATCATTAAGCCACTACCAAACAGTCATTTATAGCTGACTGAATAAGCTGCGAGTCATATTAAGCTCATTAAGCTGCTAACAAACAAATCCGAATACGGTTACGTAAGAAATGTATCCAAGCAATAATTCTAGGGTATAATAGCAAAAAATGGGCATGTACAATTGTGAACACCAAATAAACATATACGAATAGTAAAAAACAATGGATCTCGATAGCAACAAAGTATGGCAAGAGAAAATACATTTTCCAAAGAGCCAGGAAGGGAAAAGAAAATTACCTGAAGCAATTCCTTTCTCTTCATTAGAGCACGGCGTCTCATTTCATCCCTTGTGGCATGCCGCAACCCTAGAACCTTCTCAGCCAGGAACCCGTCACCTTTTCCCTCCTTATCTGAGAGGGTATCCAACAAGTTTTCAGCCCTCGCTCCGATATCATTTTCTCCAGGGACACCTTCCAACGCATGGAGCAAAGATAATATTCCTCCTTCATCGATACACTTTTGTGTTGCCAAGTGCCCCATTGACAACCCCCTGAGCATGGAAAGTAGAAGAGGAACAGATGGAAGTTTTAAGCCCGAAACCCATTCGGGACTAGATTTAAATCCAGCCTCTCCGGTAAACCCAAAGCTCTCCCTCAGATGTCTAACTGCAACTTCAGTAATCCCAGTTTCTAATATGATATCCTTTAGTCTCTCCCCACAAGAACTTGTTTTCAGCGACTCTGAAACCCTAACAAAGTTCTCGACTGCAAACCTCTGTTTTGATGCCTGCAGAGAGACACTCTCGTCCTTCGGATTTTCTAGATGCTGTTTCTGCAGCTGGTCAAATTCGACCCAATTCTTTAGGTGAGGATCGAAGTGTTGAATGAGTGCTTCCATTGCAGCAGGTTCACCATAGGTCAAGTAAGGCAAAATTCTAGCAACCATCTCGGTGTTCCTCTGCTGTTTGCTTGACTTTTTAAGGCCTGGTGGGTGAGACAGCCTTTCAAGGAACATAAGCACTATTTTCTTTGCCTGCTCCCCAGTACCGGTTTCTTCATTGGAGACAGTAAGAGCATTTTGTGTGATGTTAATGTTGTCACTTTCATTAGCTTCCATTGTCAAACTCTCCACAATTAGAAGAATGCCTTCAGCTGGCTCAATGGCATCAACGGAGAATGCACGTCGTGCGATTTCAAGGAGTAAGCTTAAAGCTCCAAGCCTCAACAAGGCCCTCCGGTTTTCTCTTATTTTGCAGCAGTGCATTAGAAGATTCAGAACGGCCACTAGTTGCTCCTGGTTTGACTTCAGATCATCTCGCAAACGCTGCACAAGAATGCAATTCAACAAAATTCTCATGCGCCATTAAAAACATAAGGAGAACATCGAAGACTCGCACATTATTATTTACACATGCAGCCATGAAGAAGATAACCTACGCACCTGAACAATTTCCAACAGAATTTCCAGCCCCCCACACTCCCGAACCGCCCCCGCTATTGCGAACTCCACCTCAGGATCTTGGGACTCTTCTCTGTCCTCATCCAATTCTTTGATCATGGGCTCCGTAGCTTCACCATCCAACCCCTGCGTTATGATAGTAACCAATGTAAAAAACGAGTAACAGTCGAAACAAGCATCTGATTAGAGAACCCAGCAACTACTTCGACACATAACATATTCAATTGTGTAAGGAACAGGGTAAAGAGACCTGAAGCCTGTAGGTTACGTTCATAGGGGGAAAGTCTTTTGTTGACGTGCCGGTGCTGGAAGAAAGTAATGTAGAGGCAGCAACAGCATTTGCGGATTGGCTACTTGATTTTTTCCAAACTTGCTCATAAACTTGGGCAATGCTCAAATCAAGGGAGATTATATTCCCAGCTACTAGCAGTTCCATACCATAATCATCCTCGATAAGACCCAAGAGATCCAGCTGGTTACAAATTTTGTTTTTAACATCACGCATCAATGGACCTATCTCAGCACTGGAATAAGGATTTCTGGTCATTGAACCCCGGATGAACTCCTCTTGGGTGTGTGCCTTGTTCAGTATCAAATGATAAACAGCTTCAGGTTTTGATGGGCAGATCAGGTTACATAGTTGCTCCAGAATGAACTGCAGAAATCATCAAACCATTACCACATAGGAACATGAAAGTTTATGCTAGAGCAAAGGGCATGATAAAAAAAAGTTTGCAGGCCATTTTAAGAAGACAGTAGAAAACTAACCGATTAACAGTTGGAGTGGTTATGGATATAGTCTCGAAGCATTTATTGCATTTTGAATAATAAAGATGGAATATTTTTTCTATAGCTTTTTATGCAGCTATTTCAATTCTATCAAGACTAATTTTACATTGATGATGATACAAAATTTCAACAAAACGTTCTTCTCCAATCAAACCAATAAACATATTTCCTGAAACACTGCCTTTTTAGGACGTTACCTTCTTTAGACCACCGAATAATATATAATTATATTTCATCCCCTATGAGCCAAGTCACCATTATTTCATCACCTCAACTTCTTCCACGGCAAAAATTTTAGATCCATCCCTTATCTAGTTTTATGTCACTTCAATTCAGCATTATTTGTATTATATGTTATTACAGTTACCTGGTATATATTTGGACATCATCTAGAAATATATACTGCCCATTCAAAAACTCAATGAACTTGCTCAAGTGAGGATAGATAGATTATTACCACTAAAGGGCTTTTTGGTATTTTCCTTTTTATAGTTTGTTAGGTTCTGTTTTTGATTCCAATAAGATTGTAATATAGATATAGATTTTGATTCCAATAAGATTAATAGTTTGTAATATAGATATAGATTTTGATTCCAATAAGATTGGCATACATATGCAAACTCATATCTGCCTTTGTAGCTAGAGTAACACTATCAGTTGAGAGAGGGTGTTTAAAGTGTCTTTCCTACATACCAAATTATTTCGTCCTTTTTTCTCTTCTCCATGAATCTGCAGACCGCAAATGCAAGCTTGGATGAAATGCTTTTTATTTTCAGCACTTTCCAGCAAAAGACTATCCAGGAGATCTTTTAGAAGTCGACTGCAATCACTTATCAACTTCGTTTTTTGCACTATCAATCCCCTGATGACAATGAGGGCCTCAAGGACTTCAGAGAGCAGCTTTTCTCTCATGAACCTGGCATCCAAATGACATTTAGTTATAAATGGAGAGGATATTGAGCTTCACTTGAAAACAAAGAATATATACAAAACAGTACCTGGATCTGATATTGGGAACATCCAAAAATTTTCCTAGGAGCTCAATAAGCTTGTGAAGGATGAATCCCTGTGAGATGTCAATACGCAGGCTTCTCTCCAAAGATTCAACATTACTTACCTCTTGCGTAATCAACTTACATATTGTAGTCAGACATCCGCGTACAGTCAAGAAAAGACGTGCATCTTCTGACTCTATCATCTTGAAGAGCAATTCAAAATACTCAGCAGCATTTTCACCAGCAGAAAGAGTTGCAGGCAACAAAGACATGAGTAAATTTAGTAGCCGAAACCGTCTTGACGAACTTTGGGCACAAAGCAGACTGATCAACATGCACATCTCCGATCTTATAGATTGAGAACAAGCACTAAGAACCAGTTCTGTAACCCATGAACCCAGTTCAAAGGATGCTATTTCACTTTTACCAGTCTTGAAAGCATTTCGTTTCCATCTCAGAGAATACTTTAAAGCGAGGAACTCATACCTCTGAGGCCGCGACCTCTGCCCAGGTCTGGTTGCCTGTGACACTTTATGCCGCCTAACAAAATCAAGATACGAAGCACCCCTTTCCCACTCTGAATAACTTAACAACTGAATATCATAAGTCTTCTGAGAACCGTCCCAGTTCTTCTCTGATGAATCAGGCAGAGACTTGCTCCCACTGACAACACTTGATGGTCTATTTTCATCCTTTTGCAGTGGCACTGGGCCAGGTTTTCCTCCTCCTTGCTCCTTGTCTGATGAATCGGGTTTTGGAGGAGTGCATGCCTGTGATATAATCCTCAAACAAGGGAGAATAACATGTTCAGATATTGAAGGATGCTTGGCACCCAATTTAATGGAAGAGAACAATAGCTGGAAAACGACCCGTAATCTTGACTCCCAAAATTCATCAGCCAAAGAGCACACCTCGGAAAGCAAAAGTAACTCTTCACGTGTTGCAAGTGCAATATCCATTGAGCGATGATGTTCGAGACAATACATTACCTTCTTCAAAATAAGAGCATTCAACTCAGTAACTGCATTCCTGTCACCTTCAGAGAAGGCACAAAGTGCTGCCCTGGCTTGGACACGAGCTGTTTTGGGACCTTGATGGATATTATTCTCAAATAACTCTGATAGAATTCCAGCAGCCACCAGTTGCCTCTTAGAACTTGGGTGTTTTGATAACACCTGTAGCATCTCAAGACACTGTGTAACAAACACGGTGGCACAACCATAACAGCTGTTTGGTGACCTGGAAACAATTAGTCTGGAAGAGGCAACAGTGCCATCAGAATGTTTTTGATGCAAGTAACTCATTAAAACCCTTCGAAGCCCTTGAAGGGTCTGAACACTTTTGCTGACTGAATCAAAAGCGGCTTTGCATTTTTCACCATAGAGAACACCAAGAAGTGCAATCTTACGGTTAATCTTACATGAAGGGCCAGGCAAAGATACCATCATTTGCTGAACAGAATCCTTCTGTTGAGAGTCCATATCATTCTCACCAATGCTTGATACAATCTTCAGTAGAGGTTTTTTAAAGCCCAAAAGCTGCTGATATCTCCTATGAGCATTCTCAGATTCAGATTCAATAGCAGCCAACCCCTTCTTCATATCATCATCATTCTCCATGTCGTCAAACGTGAAACTCGGTTTTGCCATGAAATTGAATTCAAAACGGCCATACTTGCTATAACCGCACTCATTACATAGAAATGAATCCAGGTTTTCATAATTGATGTTGCGGCATTGCCTGCATTGATAAGCATTCTCATGACAATTACCACAGATTCCATGTCTATCAGTGACAGGACGACTGCAGCGCGGGCATTGCAATGGTTCAAGAGATAGAGCCTGAAGATTCTCGTAAAAGGAATCAAGTTCGATCATGAAGTTACATGCAGTGATGGGAATAGGGAAATCCACTTTCAGCTCAGTCTGATTGAAAGCAAGATGACATATCTTTGCACGCTTCCACAAGGCCCAATTGTTTTTCAGCTCCGCCAAGTCAGCTACAGGTCTATTGTTGTAATACAAGTTCAAGACCTTCACCGACTTAGATTTGCGAGCATCATGAACATTCATGGTCACACTTTGAATGGTGTAGCTCCCTGTGCACTTCACTATTATGCGGTTGTCGGTGAATTTTGTTTCTGACTTCAGACTTTCTAACTTCATTCTACTGTAAGGAAGCTCAGGGCAGCTGCAGGCAACACAAGGCTCGCTCTCCAAATAGTAACCATCGAACTCCACCAATCCACTCAAAGTGTTGTATATACGTGAGTTGGGATGGTTTGCCAAGAGCTCATTTTGCAAGTGAAGTGTATCAAAGATGCACTTGATTACATCAGAAGTTAAGCATCGGTCTACAATTTCATTGCTCTGTTGCTTTGTACCGTTATCAGGTATCCTCCCTAACAAACAAGTGACAAGCTCTGTATACTCCATAATATTCTGACCATACATAGGTAAGTACTTCACTTTCTCCAAAAGAATCATCAACATTGTTTCCTTGAATGATTGCTTTCCATGATGCCAGGCTCCATATAGTACACATTTGGCTTCCACTCGGACAGAGCTGGAGTTCCACTCGAGTAAAAAACAATCAATAAACTGCCTCAAGATATCATACCCTTTGTCAGCAAAAATATCCACCATTGGCTCCATATCCATGTATGACTTATCCAAACCAGATTCCACCCCATCCTCACCTTTCTTTTTCTTCTTTGAATCAAAGGATTGTGGCCCTGATTTGCTCGAACTAGTTCCAGTAACAGTGTCACCTCCATCAATTTTCTGCAACGACAGGCTAATATCCTTCCCATTGTAGAAGGACAAATTAAGGAGTTTAAGAGCCTGAGAGACGCATTCTTCTGGGAAATAGAACACACCATTTACAAGAAAACGCAAAACATCACCATGCCTCAAACAATATTTCTGCCAGTTTCTGGGACGTGAAGAAGCTACTTCAGCCATGGTAGACAAGCATTTCACTATCTTGACACTCCTCTCATAGGAGAGTGTACTTTGAAATCCACCTGACTTCTTTATGTGTTTGTACAGCTTCTTAACTTCACTTGAAAACTGCCAGGAATCTCTAATGCTATAATAGTGTGTTTTGCTACCGCACAGGTGCAAGAAAAGCCTCCTAGCATACCTTCTTACGAAAGTTGTATTAACGTTATTGATATAACTGCAAAGAACATCCTGATACCCATCAAGCTTCAGATCCTTCCCAGATGGAATTTTGAAGAACTTCTCTTTTTCAATGGCCTTGTCGTGCTTTTCCGGGCGAACCAAGCTGTAGACTAGTCTAAAAGTGTTCTCTAACAATAATCTGTGGTAGTCCGCAAACATGTCTGAGCGATGAGACTTTGCATACGAGTCAGAGAAGAATGGAGATAAGTTTCCCGCTGGTATCTCTCTGCGGACAGTTAACAGAGCCCCGCATCCTGAACCAGAGTTAGCACCGTGCGAAGAACCAAAACCAACAGATGGCGACTTAAAAACATGCATCAGTTGTTGTAAAATATCCATAAGGTAATTAACAAAATCTTGTTGCCGAAGAGCTCCACAAGCTCGAAGCAGTTGGGAATGAAAACTATTTTTCTCTTGGTCATCCACTGCGGAGGAGGAAGTAACAGGAGCAGAAGAAGAAATCTGGATAATGCTTTTGTCATGTGAATCCGTTGATCCACCTGTTTTTGCTATTGAACCATCACCACCAGGTTGATGCCAGTTTCGCAGCATCAACGTAAAGAACATAAAGACCAGGATAGTGACCTCCCCAAAAGAAGAACGGGATTTCGCTGCAAATGGTTTGTTAACTGAAATTTCATCTAAAAACCATTTTATCAACTTCTCCAGATCTAAACTTTCAGGCCTTGAGCTGTCAACAAAAGGTCCACCTACTGCAGAAGATAACCTGTAGAAGAGCTGCATAACTGGGATAGCCCGAACACCAGATGTAGTCTCCATCCATCCTTTTAGAAGTTTAAGGAACTCCGAAAGAATTGAAGAATTTATAGCCCTTTTTGATGCAGAAATTGTAACAGGATCGGTGACTGAAGATGGGAACTCTCCAGATTCAATAGTATCCAAGACATGGATTGCAGGAGCAGAGGTCGGCATGCCAACATCAGAAGCAACTGGGAGCAAACATGGATCATTTAGATCATCAGTTGAGAACTGCATCTCATTGCCTTCTCCACCATATGTTTCAACTTCAATTGGAATGGCAGACATCAGATGCTCTCGTGAATGAGGCGGAGGAAGCCGGTCTGCATCAAGCATTTCATAGCAGGCTTCACATAAATCAAAATCAGGGCAGACGGTGCAGTGCCATCTCCTCCTGAGTATAGGAACTGTGGAGCAGCCATCGCAACAGTATTGAACAGATGAAGTGATGGAGTCTTCCTCAACCATAATCCGAGCATTTCCACCAGTTGAACTAGCAACATCAGCGCGTGCAGAAGCGGCGCTTGCACTGTCCACTGCGTCATCTGTACCTAACATAGTTTGCTTCGGAAATGGAACCTGAAGTAACCTTGAAGATATGGCCAAGCTGCAGAGGAGCACGTTAAAAGAAGTATTCAACATACAATGTAAAAAATTTGATGGTTACAAGATAAACAATCACCTGCTAGAAGTCTGAACAGCCTCATTTTGAGAGAACAAAAGTTTCTTAAAAAGAGAAACAGCAGGCGCAACAGTATCACCCCCTGCATCTTTTTCATGTGAAACCAAACACTCGGCATAAGAGTAAATGAGGTCCACGGATGCTATAACAATGTTGTTCATTGTCTGTGTTTCAGGCTGCTCTATGTCCAAAATTCCCCACAGAACCTGCATAAGCCCATCAACCACCTCCGAACCTACAAAAGTAGAAGATGCAATGCAAAGTGAAAAAAAAACTCACCAAGTGTTCTAAACATGAATAGGAAGACGAAGGAGACAAGTGCATCCCACAAAAAGATCATAAACAGTAACGTATAAACCGAGAGAGTAAGAAACTGCACTAACATAATACAATAGATGCCAATGATAGCAACAATCACCTACATAACCGAAGAAGTTGATAATAAATGAAACCCTGCTATGACATGTAAAACTAGAGTAGTTGTTTTTATACTCTTAACGGGTAATAGGTAGCCTGAACAGTGTCTCAAATGCTGTTAATTTCATTACTATATGACAAATTCTCAAGACGCTGGAACTCTACTAAGAAGACCCTCTGCAAGCTACTTGCAAGATAAGAATAGAACATTCCATCGGTACATAATTGTGATTAAAAAAAGCATAGCTTCTGTCTTATGAAAATAGACATCCCCATAGCCAACATAAGATTTCATATGCACAAATGGCAGTAAAGGGGAGTGACTTATAACAAGAATAGCACATAAAGCCAGATGCAACTAAATACTTGACCTCAAGGAGTAATTCATGCATCATCTTCAGAAACAATTCAAAAATTAGCATCAAGCTCAAACAATACCATGTGTTTCAAGAAATGTAGCCAAGTTAGAACGACGATGGAGTGCAATCTTTGAAACTGCATGCATCTGAGCTGTAAACTCTTCAATGATCCACCCTGATGTACTTCCTCCAATTCCCAGCCTCGACAACAGTGTGGAAGTTGATTTCACCACCCCCAGAAGGCGCATGGTGTCCTTAACCTAGGCATAGATGTTGTAATTAGCTAAAGACCAAACATCACAACACATATATTGAAGTCCACAAGAAATCATAGCAGTGAGAGGTAGGGGGGAGAAGGGAGGGGAAGGAAGAAAAGATAGACAGCATTCATAAAAGCAAAGTATGTTGGTATATACTTGATAATATATTTCTTTTTTAGGGAACACAGCCTGAAGAACACGACATGCACCAGCCTGCAACAAAGGTTCCCGGTCACTTTCGAATATCGTTTCCAACAACTGCTTGCACTTCAACTTGCTGATCTCTGCTTTTACTTCATCCACATTTAAACATCCTTGTGGCTCACAAAGCGTGTATAACTTTGACAGAAGGTTGAGTCCATCTGCAACCACCTGCTCCTCAATAGGTGCTGCTTGACAAGTACGACGTTTCTTCCCAGATCCTGCAACCCAGGAGCTGCTCCCAAGCACACGAGCCTCCATATCCAGTACAGCATCCATCTTCTCCTTCCAACCAAATTCATCCTTCGCTCGACCATAAATTTCCAGGGTGTCTATTCTGGGTAAAGTTGATCTATTAAAGGTTGGTCCTATAGATATTGTAATTTCTTCATCAGCCAGGAGTGATTCTGCAACAGTAAATGGGATGTCATACCAAGACCTCATGCCCTCATCTAGTTTTATAACTCTCTGAAGAATGGTAATATCAGATGGTATATGATTTGCTGATGTATTCCCCACATGGACACGAAACCCAACCATGACTATGTCAGGATTCAAATTGGAAACAGTCACCTGAGAAAACAAAATGCAGCATCAATATCAACCCAAGGTAGTAAGAATTTTTATCTGGGAAAAAGATATTGGTGGTAAAAGAATTAGGTTTCAAAGGATGGAATTTTTTCCCATCTGCTAGAGACTACTTTGTTTTCTCTTATAATTACTTACTGCATTGCTAAGTGGAGGCTACATTAGTTATCTAATTCATTTCTACATGTCAGGCATAAAATCTGTCGACCAAACAAACACTGTACTAATATCCTAGAAAACATACACCAACTTCCACACTATGCACATGCATGAATGAACAACTGTCTACCCAAACCTCTGTTCTGTCGTTTATTTGCACTATTAAAATTCTAGGTTGGTCCATATATATTTCCAGATTTCTAAACCAGGTGCAAGTATAATACACCAGAACTCCAACTCCTCAGCTAGCATTATGTCAAAAGGTTCAGTTGATGTCCCATCTCCCTGCTAAATAATTCAACATTGAAGAAAATGAGTGGTCGTATGCGTTTCATATATCTATGTACACACACGCATATGTAGATATAATTACGTATATGTCCCACACGATCCTCCGCCTATGTCCCTATATGTATGCATATCCATATATTTATATATGTATGTGTGTGTAAACGGTAAGGAAGGCAACACTCAACTATGAATTCATACAATCATTCAAAAACACAAGCAGCATAGGAACCAACAATACCTTAAACCCTGCAGGCGTAGGACTCTCAAGAAATCCATCTTCTGATGCCAAGCTCTGTTTTGCACCTTCAGAATCCCCATTCCTGATGGCATCACCACTTAACTTCACATCGGATGTTATGCATACAGTTTTCTCAAAGAAATCAAGTGGAAACTCCGGCTTCAAACTAGCATAAGCTTTGCTATTGAGTATGTCAGATCCTAACTTCTTAACCTTATCTGGAATCACATTTGCACCAGCTTCAACCCCAACAGGAACATGTGTATATATCTGGAGACTGCCATCATCATGCAAAACGAGACAGTGAATTTTATCTTTGGATAAAGGCTTATATGCTGTTATACCCACTAACACTGAGGTTGAATACACTCCATTCCGCATGTTCTGTGCAAGAACTTCATGCTCTCCAATCGAAACAGCCAGGGCCGCATTGGATTTCACACTTGAGAAGCAAACAAATAAGCCACTGCCAACAAGTAACTCCTTGAAACGATGCAACCCCGCCGGACGATGCTTGCCATCTTGTTCATCCTCATAAACAGCAGATATCTCAGATAGAGATGATGCACCGTGATCGAGCCTGCCAACTAAGGTTGTTCCATCTTGATATGATGCGAATAACAACTTGTAAGTTGATGAGAAGTACAAAGAGGAACCCTTTGCATGTGTTTCCCTGCCGGGAGTTTCCACTGTTTCTTTTAATGTTTTTGCACCAGCATTTCCTTCATTCGACAATTCTAGCCTGAATAAGCAACCAAGTTCAGAAAGGACGATAAGAAAAACTCTTGCTTGGGAAACCACAGCAAGTGTTGCATCCATGATAGTGTCGTCATGCAAGGTAATGTAGTGCATAGGACTGATATTGTCCTGAGAGAGATCATATATCTTGACAAATTTGTTTGTGACTACCATAAGCTGCACTTGAGACCCAGGAACCCATTCTACACGCCTTATATAGGCACCTTGAAGTGCAAGTTCAATTGCAAGACGATCTGTGACCTCCCCACGATGACTTACAGTAAGTACCTGGCAGTCTTCATAGCCTGCCACAGCAAGATAATTCTCAACTAATGGGTTAAAAGCAAGATGTACAATCTCAAATCGTACAACATTCTTTGACAGAGGCTTCACATTAGCCTTGTCTGCAGTAATAGGTGCAATAGTTGCCTGTCCAATCAGCTGGCCGACATCAAATATAGCTACTTTATCACCCTCTCCAACAGCAAGTCGGCCTCTAGTACTGACACTAAGCAATGATTTGACAAGGGAACCACTAGCTAAATGGGATTTAAGTTCCTTCGCATTTGAATAATCTGCCTTTATCTTTAGATCCAGTGAACCACTTTTATACGCCTTCTTCAACTGTAGAAGATCAGCACTAAAACTAAGCACTTTGTCTTCACCTATCGAAATATTCTTATCCTTCAACAGGTTTGAGTCTCGTCGGCTAGTTATTGATGGCAACAACGAGGAGCAAAGTTCAAGCACACGATCTTCAACATCAAGTCCTTTTACCAATGATGGCATTGCCTCTTGTATTTCCCTTGGAAAAGATAATCTGACGGAGTTATCCATATCCAACGAACCATCCTCGTCAACATCCGACTCACTGTCAGGCAGCTGATCCCCTTCCTCTGTGAATGGTAGAAATGAATGAAGATTACCAGCACTGCGCGTGGGTGCGCTGTTACCTCCAGTAAATTTCCTAGGCTTCAGACACTGGCAACTGCTACCTCGTACACCCCCTGCTCCACAGTCACAAAAGAACCGACTTGATCGGGAGTAGACAACACGATGTCCACGATGACAAACTTTTGCACACACAGAACAACAGCCTTTGGACACAGTCAGATCACATGTGTAACAGAAATACCAGTGCTGTTCCATAAAATTGCTGCCACTGGATGTAAATGTACAAACTTTAGAAGCAAGGGCCCTTTCACTGTTACTATCATCAAACTCGTCCTTATCCATGCTACCCACTTCTCCGTCCGATGTTCCATCATCCTCATCTTCGTCAGCTGAAGTTGCATCACAATCAAGAGATGTGGTTCCACCTTCTTGATTAGAAGAAAGAACCAATGCATCATGGTGTTTCCTTGAACCCAAAGACCTTGAGGCCACCTGTCCTATCCCAGAACCACTCCTACGTGAAGACTTCTCAACTAACTTCGCAGCAGTGTTCTTATTAGACCCAAAATCACTTACCATGGATCCAAGAAAACCTAGAAGAAATTTCAGGCCTTGAAGCAGACGCTCATCACACGCCAGTTTCTTCATAAGCATCACCGTCCGCTGCAAAAGTGGTTTCATCGAGGCCTCTCCACTTGAAAGTTGAACAACAAAATTCAAATAGGATTTTGCCGTATTGACATCATACAGCGTAAAGGCGCTATCAAGGGATTCTAGCAGAGCCTCGTATATATGATAATGTAGTTCTTCAGATTGTGATTCGGGAGGAGACAAAAGAGACACGATGAATTTCGTGGTTGATTCTCTTAGGGATGATGAGCTTCCATTTACACAAATGGGATCACCTGAGGGTTCATTTGTGGACCCTAATAACCTCTTTTCCAGCCATTTGGAAAGGTGAAGCAAATTCATGTTGAGGAATTTCTTTTGCAGCTTCAGTTTGAGATTAGGACATGCATCTCCAGATAAAAGATCAACAAAGAAACTAAGAACCTTCACATTAGCCGATTCAGAGTTGCAATTTTCCAATGCATCAACGAAGACCAAAAGATCCCCATGCTGAGAACTACATGCATTTTCCATCCGTTCAGAACCATCACCATCAGACATGAATTTTTGTAACACAGATGCCCTTGAAGAATCCTTCACAATGCTGTCTATAATATCAATAGCCTTGGACACTACACATTCATTAACACAGCTATCGACAACTTCTCTAGCATTAATATCTTTCAAAAACTCGTACATGTTCTTCATTGTAAAGAAACTTCTGTAATCAAACTCTTCCAAGCCATAACTCAGGTTTTCGTAAATTGCATCACATTGAGCATGGAGGCTGCTAAACACCCTATCAGTTTTAATTGACAAAATCAACTCCAGAATCTCATGGCGTACTTCAGCTTCAATGGAGGTCATTTCATTCGCATTTATCATCTTGAGAAGTCCATCTAGAACACATACGATTCCTTTAATGCTGAGAATGCAAGAAAGCAGAAACCCACTAGAAACTTGATTGTTACACGGGAATCCGTGCATTCTAAGTTCAAAATTAACCTTATTCCAGATTCCTGGTGCCATCTTATCAACAGCAATACCCAACTTCGGCAAAAGTTCACAAATAGACTCCAGTTGACAAGGGCTGAAAGCGCACTTCTCAAAAAGCACATCCTGAAGGGACTTCTCAAATCCCGTGTGTTTGAGAAGCAATATAGGTGAAAACCTATTGGCAGAGCTCTGGCCATCACCAAAAGTAGAAAGTAAGGTTTTCTGGTAAACATTTCTGTACCTCAGTAATATTACCGACAACGCTTTCAACAACACTGCAACTGTGACTGACTGAAGTGAACTGCCGATCAGCTTTTCAGCAAGTGTAAGAAATTCAGCATCTCTAGATGTGTGCTCCAGCAAGACTAGACCGGCTGAAGCAATTTCATTACTAATGCAATATCTCTGATTTCCAGCTCCAAGTAAGGACAGTACCAGAGCTAACCATGATCCACTCCTCAGAAAGTCCAAGCCTAGTTCTTCGGTTTCCTCTGATATGGGCATTGATTGCAACTGTTCTAGCACAGAGAACACTAATTTTGAAAAATTAGCACTCTTGGCAACTCCACAACTGCCCAAGATTGAATGACCAAAGTACAAAAGATGTTCTATACTAGTGATGTCAAGCGTCTGAAGGTCACTACATGAAGGAAGCAAATCCAAGGTAGTGTGCATGGGAGGGATATCCCAACAAAGCATAAAAATGTATCTTTCAAGAACCAAGTCCTCCATGGTCGATGCACCTTTGCCTCTCCAAAACCCTAGAATCCAAGAAAAAGAAGAACATACTTCAGCCCAATTCAGACCTAAGCATTCAACCGCAAGATCTTCTCTGCATGCTGAAGCCGTGAAGGATGTGACATCAATCAACTGATTCAAAAAATTGCTGCTGACTTCCCCTTCTATGGTAAAAATACGCATCACATTCTCTACGAAAGTTGATGCCCAGAACATACGGTTACTTGCATTACCAGCCGGAACTGACCTAGCAAGTGGAGCTTCCCTTAACTTGGACTTCAACTCTGAAAGTAACGTTGGAGGACAAACATTGGGATAAAATATCATGTGCCGAAGAATCAATACCAACCGCGATACTAGCAATGCCCAGCATGACAATTGGGTGCTGTTAAAACCATCACAGAGAGGCTCAATTGTTCTAATGGATGAAACTATGAAGTTCGCTTGTACTGCCTTTTCTGCTTCAGACGATAAATGAAATGACATCAAAAGAATCTCAACATGCAACACTGAGGGAAGAGTCTCGATAAGTTCTTTGAGACTAGGGCAACGTGTGCAGACTGATTTTACCTTCTCAAAAACAAATTCCACAAATACCTTCTGGACTTTTGTCCTCAATTGATTACCAGACATACCAACCCGGCATATAAGCGTATGAGCTAATAAGGCAAGGGTCTGATGGTTGTATACAAAAGAACCATTATCTACGATCAATATTTTGCAGACAAGGTACTCTTCGAGTGATTCAGATAAAGCATGGAACGAGATTAAGTTGTGCAACACCTCATAGCAAACCTCATGAGTATGCATGAACTTCCTATGCTCAGACAAAGATACACCAGCATCAGAAGCCCTATCTCCAGCATGACACCCTTGACAACTGAGAACAGAAAGAATGATATCGATATGATATGAAGTGAGCTTTTTGCATGCATCCTCATATATTGAAGAATGCCATTCAGGTGAAAAGGCACTTGTCTTCAAAAAGATAAACAATTCTGTGGCAGCATGGAGAGGCATATTGGACATATTGGTAACAGAACTAGCAGCAATAACCGACTGATCATATCCATCCGTTGATCCTACTGAGCGCCCACCCTCGGAAAAAAGGTCACCAAACAGCGCTTCATCCTCATGGCAAACTGTGCTTTCAGGTTCCAAGGTAGAAGAGGCCTTTGTACAGCTGGAATAGGATCTATCCAGTTTTGGTAACATCTTCACTCCCTCAGAATGGAGAAAGAAAGCAAGGTGCATTAACTTGTCCACCCATTGCCTTGATGTTGGGAATATCACTTTCAGCAACTCCTCGACACTGTACTTCTTTACCAAAGAGATCCTTTCAGAACCCACACCACATAAAAAGGGATCGGCCTGAGAGTCAGCAGAACTGCCACTATTTCCAGCGTGTAAACCCTTCAATTCCAGAGCCTGATACTGTTGCTTCTTTATATCCTCAACTAACTTCAGAATGTAAAGAACAATTCGAGGGAAGTAAGCCACTGGCAGCTTTATGTTTGTCATAGACTTGTCATACCTCCACACATCAACATCCAGATTTTCAAATACAGAAACTATTACACCTACCAAGATGTTCTGGAACACGTTGCTGTTGCAGAAAATGGTATGAACTAGGTGAAGAAACGCCTCCAACAGCAACAACACAAGACTTTCAATATTGAACTCAACAGACACATTGCTTGTGGCAAATTCATATCCACTTCTAAACAAACTAGGGAGCGCATTGGTAAATGATGCAAAAGATCCCAACAGTTTAGCATCATACTCAACATATGGAGCATCTTTGGTAACACTTGCAAGTAATTTGAAAATTCTTGCACAAAATGACAATCTCTTCCGTAAATTGATGTTGTCCATCTTCTCATCACACCTATCAAAATTCTCAACCAGTCCCATGCAATGTGAAACAAGGCGCTGTATGCATCCTAGGTGAACAACTGCCCAGTGCTGTAACAGTGGAACCAATTTATTGAAATCATGAGAACTCCTTCCAATTGTCCATGAGTTCATATTTTCATGTTGTGTCCAATCGGAAACTAATGTCATAAGAAGACGATCCACGGGCTTCTTTTCCTTTGAACAACTATTCCCTTTCCATGACAAAAAGAACACAGTTTTAGGAGACCTTGCAACTACTTCATGAAACAAACAATATGCAAGGACAAAAGAAATGAGTACCTTGAACAATACATTCAATATGGTCTTGCAATTCAACACTCTCATTTCTCAACGGGATTGAATTCAATGAGTCTATAAGCAGATTCATAGAAGAAGAATGTGACACATCGGCCTCTTTAATTGTTCCATCAACTAGTGCGATCTCCAATAACTGCAACATGTTTTGGACGAAATAAATAATAATGATATCAATGCATACACACATAATTGCTCCCCACTCTGGGGCAATGCATTGACATATACCATCAATCCTGTCATATAACAGGCTGGGGGAGAGAGGGATGGAATTCTAACAGCACTGTCACTTTTTTAACACATGTATATATAATTTAGGATTTAATCACTATAATGGTACTAATAGCATGTTTGTTTAAGACTTTTATCAGCCTCTATGTGGGCACACCACGTGTTCGATGGAATGATCACTAGGCCCATTCATTTCACAGTTCCATCAAGTGCTTACTGCTTAATGAACAATTTTTACCACACTGTTTATTCAATAAGAGGAGCTCCCAGTGTTCATTATGGAATAAATTACAAGTTTTTTAAGAATCGCTAACCTAACTCAACTGTAAACCAATATCACATTTTTATCTGCTCAAAATTCAAGAATGGTCACCAATATTGGAACGAAAGCATTTGGACCTTCTACTTAACTATTTTCAGTTAAATATCATGCAATTTCCATGGTTCACCAATCACTATACAGCTTCCAGACAGCATTCTTTTTTGCTTATTCAGTGTTTTAACTCCATATAGAAGCACAAAGAACTGCCCCCAATGTCCCATTCATTAAACGACAGCCTCCTCTCCCGATTGTAACTCAAATTTTAAAGCCTTAATATGCATATACATATTTTATGGGTTGGCGGGGATCAACAACCTGATTCAACTTTCCAATATCGCCAATTAGGATACAAAAGCTATTAATTGTAAAAATGATACATTGCATCTTTAACAAAAAAAAATGGTGTGGAAGTCTTTTCGGATGACTCAGCAGGAGTATAATTGGTCTGATCTGCCAATTTTGTGCACGGTGCTTATATGCGTTCATAATCAGTTATTTCTTTCCATCTTTCCTGGAGATGGGGATTCAGGTTACTTTATTTAGAAGAATCTTTTCCAATGCAACATATTCAAGATTTTAATTATAAATCCTAACAATAAATTTGATGGTCCGATCTTCCAATTATCAAAATTCATCACCAAAAGACGCTTGCAAGTACATAACACATGCCTCTAGATCCAAAGTTAAGTGCAAGAAAGTCGGCTTACATRTAGGCACTGTGACTGCTACTACCCTATCCTAGCCATGACAAAAAAAAACATCCTGCCTGCAGATCTTCCATTGATATGGATACTGCTCAATTCTCTCCAAGAAATAGGCCCACATGAGGTATAGTAATTTCAGAAAAATCACTGTTTCAAGTCATGCATGCCATTTCCAGATAAATTATTTGTGTACAAAGTGCATAGAACTATTACACGATTTGAAAAGGAGTGGTAGGCATGTAGTTCTTCTGCTAGATATGATATTACGTGTATGATGGAGGTTTACAAGCTGGACATGCTGCAAGTGGCAGCTTAGTGACGGCTATGCAAGTAAACATGGATTTAGTTGATGGGTGACACACTCACTGGCAGTAGCTTCTCTGAATGAAAATATTTCCAAAGATATGAACCAATTCACCTATTATAACACACTACCTTCTCCATATAGCATATGCATAATACCTCCTCCCGTGTGTACATTGTGATCTCATCAATAACCAAGTAAAGAGGTGGTAAATATGTGCCTAGTAAGAATAATAGAATATCTTCCTGACTTCATAACACTTGCATATAATCTATATATATATATATATATATATATATATATATATATATATAGGTGAGGGCTCATGTGAGAACCGCAAATAATTTAAGAACCAAGGAACTGATTTTATAGTGTGTATTCGTTCATGAATATGCACTCTGTAAATTTCATCAAAATATGTATATTGTCAATGAGTATATTCATCAGTGAGTAGATACTATATATGAATGTATTGTATGTCAATGAGTATATTCAACAATGAATATACACTAACAAATTGGTCCCTTGTTCTCAAAATATTTGCAGTTTTCATTTGTCAATGATATATAGGGTGTGTGCGTGTGTGTGTGTGTGTGGGTGTATGTCTTGGAATCAGAAATAAATTCTACATGCTCCTGATTAGAAGTATATAATTTAAATTCTTAATTGGTAATAGTTTACTTAGTTTCGCAGTGTTATGCGTTCCTTATTAATCAAAAATGAAATAAAACCATATAAATTATAATTATATTCCGATCGTGCATCTCTTAATAGCTAAACTCACTGGAACTAGCATACCGAACCACAAAACAAAACTACCAACCTGAATGAAACTTATATCATCACTGTTGGCAACTGACTTCTCCAAACAACAAACGGCAAACTCCAACGACTGCTCCATCACAGCAACAATGATCGGTTCTACTTGCTCGACTGTCAAATCAAAAGGAAGAAAAATATACGTATATAAAAAAATCACTTGCAGAACCACACAAACCAGAAATTGACACTCAAATCGGAATCAAAACATATCCACCCTAAACTCATAGTTAAAAGAAATACCAGAAATGGATCGAGTTGAAGAGACAATCGCGTATGCCAAGGACATAACCGCTTGAATCTGAGCATGGTCCCAGCTTTGTAGCCCTAATTTTCCATCACTGTTCGTTTCAACGCCTTGTTTGAGGATCAAATAAAGCTTCTCGAGCCCTAATTTTTCAGACCGAAGTCTAATATCATTCGATGAAGATGATGCCTTGTCGTCGAAGAGAACTCCGACGAGTTTGGCGATTTCTTCCGCCATTTCCTGATAAAACAACCGAAGAACCGATGATGAATGTGTTGTGATTGATCGATCGGAGCAATTATACAAGATGCTTTACGTGATCGAGAGAGCAGAAAGCTCTCGCGAGACTTCGTTTCGATAAAATTTTCTAATCAAAAAGAGAGTTTAGTGGAGAGGTTTATTACTTATTAGTGTGAGAGAGGCGGTGGGACTTGATAGAAAGATAAAAAGCCAAAAGGAATACGAAATAGTTATTTGCTTCAACTCCAAGTTTGGATTTTAAAATTCCGTCAAAATTGATATAAATATTATTTGTATAGTAAAAACTTTTAAAAATCATTTTTATGTATAAAATATTGTTTATTAATGTATATTATTTAAAATTTTATAATACAAATAAATTATACGTAAGTACAATATATTAAAGTTTTATTTTTGAATTTATGTAACTAACTGCAGATAAACATCTCATTTTAAATATAAAAAAAATCTAAATATAATTACAATATATGTTGAGTTCCAACATAATGCTTTAACTATTATCTTTATAAGACATTGTATTATTAAGGGTTAAATGCATGAAATAGCAACCTACTTTCACAAAATTTCTTATTATAGCATTCTACTTTTGTTTTTCTTTATTACAGCAATGCACTTTCAAATTATTTTTTATTAAGGCATTGTACTTTAAAAAATCTACCCATAATAGCAATGGRTAACCTGTTACCTTTTAAACCGGTTAACCCTTTGACTTTTTTGTTTATGTAGCTTTAATGAGGTGATGTGGATGACACATCATTTTAATAATTTAACTAAAATTAAATAAAAACATATTTCAAATTATTATTAGTGATTTTCATTTTTCATTGCTATTATCTAAAAAAACATTTATTTATTTTTTACTTTTTCTTAGTAGGTTGCATTTAAATTGAATATTCTTAGAGTAAAATATTTATTAAATAAATATGCAACATTATTTTCGAGATATATTTTATTTGTAAAAAGACAATTTTTCCTATTTTATGTTGTTCAAATAAATACATATTTTTTAAAGTTCTCTTTAAAATATTAACGAAATAAATTGTTATCTACAATTTTTTAATATTGTTATATTAATAAATACTTCAAAAAAATCTAATTAATTTAATATATTTATACGTGAAGTAAAAAGTTTTTAAACAAATATAATATATTCGTCAAGTAAAGATAATATTTTTTGGTAAAAAAAGAACAATTCTTTTTTTCTTTTTTTCAAAAAACACATATTTTTTTAAAAATATTAGCGAGATAAGTTGTGTTCTACTAGTTTTATTGATATTGGTATATTAATGAATAATTTAGAATTTTTTTAATTCATTTAATACATTTATTAAAAAAACATGTAAAATATCTAAATATTAAAATTAAAAATACAATGTTTAATAAGAAATAGTAGATGTTATAATAAAATAATTTTGAAAGTATAATGATGTAGTAAGAAAGTCACATCACTAGTACATGTTGACAGCTTACGTGGACAATGAGGTGGCATGGAAACCTAGTATAATAGGTAAATTTAAATCAAAAGGTTACCCAGTGCTATAATGGGTAAATTTTTCAAAGTACAATGTCCTAATAAAAAATAATTTGAAAGTACATTGCTGTAATAAGAAAAACTGAAAGTACAATGCTATAATAAAGAAATTTATGAAAGTAGATTGCTATTTTATGCATTTTGCCCTATTATTAAACCCAAAATAAATTAATTTGTTATTGAATATTAATTAAATTATAAATTGAACTAAATAAATTACACAAAAAATAGAAATTTTGAAATAGTTAATTTGATATTGATATTGATGAATTGTGCGAGTACTCTTCTAGTTTTATTATAAAACATTTAGGTATGTTCGTTAGTAGCTTAACAAGCCTCACAGCTTATTCGGTCAAATTTGCATGATTGTATGGTAATGACTTGATGGAGGTATTGAAATTGACTTATTCAGTGAACTTCTAGGGCGAGCTTTATACATAAAGCTAAAAGGTTGTTTGGTTGATTTTCTATTAAGTCTAGTGTGAAAAAAGCTATTTGTATGGATTAATTTGTCTGTATAGATTGACAAAAATTTTGTTTTAGAGGGTCTTTCAATAGATGGAAGAAGCATATATTTTAATTAGAGTAAGAAACGGGCACTAAGTTTTTTTCTAAACTTGTTCTTCCGGTGACTTGGGTCGGATGTTGTGCCATGTCATTTAATTGCCTTTTTAGGCTCTTTTAATTAAAAAGACCCATAAAACAATTAAGGGGCGTTTGGTTCGTAAAGTGAAATTCGATGGAATTATAATTTATCAAATAAATTTGACTTTGAGGGAATATAATGAAATTTGATGGAATTTGACCATGCCTTGTGATTGTGTTTGGTTGCATGGAATTGGAATGAAATTCTTAATGGATTGGAATTTTTTTGTTTCGTTCACGGAATTCAACTTTGGAATCGGAATTAAATATCAACAAACGACCTTTTTATGATTTTTGAATAACGGAATTGGACTAGTGATATCGATAGCTAGTTATCTTGAATCAATTCATTGATTACATTTGTTGTCTATCGATAACGTATAGATGGAAAAATTAAGAGAGAGATAGAGCGTACCAGATGGAGATCGAACCAGAAATCAATTAGATGAGATGGTAGACGCAATTTTGAATGAATTTGGATTATAGAAGGAATTTGTCAGAAAAGAATTGAAATCCGAGGGTATTACCTTAGAATGTAAAATCTATGAGTGAATGAATTTATTGGAATTAAAAGGATTTTATCAGTTTTATTCCATGAACCAAAAAATCAAAAATTGTATTTGGAATTTGATCAAAAGACTTCGTCATTCAAATTTCTTTCAATTTCATCCAAATCTATAAACCAAACGACCTGATTGTTTGGGCTAAGTCTTGGGCCTTTATGTTGGAGACTTGGAGTTGGAGTTAATTAATTAATTAAAGGTGCTAAGAATTTAATTAATTAATTTATAATTTAATTAGTATATTAACTTGGATTTTTAAATTAATTTAATATATTGATTAATTAGGAATTACTATTTATTTAATCGTTCAGTTGAATTTTAAATCATTTAATTAATTTAATGATTTAATAATATAATTAAAACTTCGTTTTGAAGCCAAATAATTATTTGGGATGTTTTAAAATAGAAGATGGAGCTTATAAATTATGGAGGGATTAAATAGACGTTTTGTGATGTTGGTGTGCCAAGTGCTTAGGGGTTGACCATAGTTGACCTTTTGGCAAATTAGGTCGTTGATGGGTTATTTTGGTGCATGTCTCTAAGCAGGATTTATTTGCTTGGACACATGTTTTTAGGTGAGTCTTCATGAGACTTTTTAAGATGCATACATATGTAGATAAATCTATTTTGACATGATATTTATTCGGAGTTATGTATGTGGTGAACGATGGCATAGTTTTATGTACATGTGGAGATGCATGCTATTTATTTATGGGTTTTTAAATACTTTTAGCATGCTATCTTCGAGTCGGTTTTCATGTGGCATGACCCCAAAATAGGTGTCGGACGGGATGAGTATTGCGACCCAGATAATGCCAATGATATTATGACATTGTGTATTCAATTTTCATGTGACACATTATGGTGTTGATAACTAGGTAAGAGGGTCGGGCTCGATATGTCACATAGGGGTTACAAGACCCCGAAATGGGTGTCGGACGGGGATGAGCCGCGCAACCCAGAGAGCGTCAGTGCAGAGTGGACCTACTTGGTGAGACAGTTCAAGGAAACTAATTGGTGTTACTCGTTCTTATGGTAACATGCATACTATAAACTGGTGTTATTTGCTTATGCATGATATGAAGTTGTTATCTATGTATTGTTACGGGTGGAAATGAAGGTGTCGCACAACCAATCTGCTTAAGTAATTTGCACAATACTTCAAGTTCGATATATGTATTATGTAATCAACCAAACAAAAACATTTTTAAAATAAAAAACAAGAACTCGTGTTTATTGATGAGTGTTATCATTTTAATTCAATGTTTTATAATAATATATGTATTGTCGTTATCTTTTAGAGATATAGACAAGTAGACATAAACTTAAATGATTCAGTCATATTAAATCCATGATATAGAAATGCATCAGGTTCATCAAGTCGGATTTAAATTACCCTAACTCAATTCCAACACAGTAGATGCAGTGTGGCTTAATTTTATATCAGATATGCGTCAGATTGCCTCTGGTTGAGTTTTTCCGGGTTAGGTTAACGGGAATGGTCGGTTTTTTTAGCACACCTTATCGTGTTAGAACCCTATTTCCGGCAACCACATCACACTCACCAAAATCCAACAACACTCGTCCAAATAAACCTATAATCACCAAAACCAAACCATCGAGGAAACCATAAAATGAGAAAGGCAAGAAACCCTAGGCAAGAAATCTAGACCACTGAACCATCGATGAAACAAACAGAAAAACAAAACAATCTATGAATCCACCACCGAAACATCGATCTGGAACAGCCTCATCGCTACCTCTATAAGAAATCTCGAACACGCCACCGTAGATCGAGAGGTTTTCGAAGGGGGTTTCTTATTTTATGGGGGGGTGTGGTGGTGAAATGGGGGAAGACCGGACTGTGAGAGGAAGAGGTTTCGCCGGAGAAAAGGGAGGGTCGCCGGGAAACGGGGAAGAAGATGATCGCCATTCTCCTATTTCCTTGGGTGGGAGTGGGAAGAATAGCGTGGGGTGGGGAGATTGGGTTTTTATAATTTAACAACGAGTCAATTACAAATTTAGTCCCTGTAGTTTCAGGTTGATTATAGATAAGACCCTGAACTTTAAAACCCCCGTTACTAGGTTTCACTATTGATTGTGTCCCTTGTCATAACTTCTGTTAAAAGAACTTCGTTAAATCAAGAGTATTTTAGTCTTTTTGCACCAGTTCTTTAACATTTTTCTGACTGTATAACCCTTGATGCCTTTTCCACGTTAGTGAGTATATATCCGCAAAAAGAGTGCGCACACACATACCCAAACCAGATCTCACCCACATACACCAAATAAACCCACATTCAAACCCTGATTGCTTCGAAATCAAAGTCTAAGCTCAAAGTCTGACGAGACCTTTTCCCCTCCATGTGTTCAAGACCTAAGACCATCACGAAATCATATTAAGAAAACAGTAAACAAAAAGGTGAACCCCATCAACGACCAACCAAAAAACCCACCCCCTGTCGTCAACACCAACACCATCTCCAGCCATTCCTACAACAACCACCTCGACCTCTTCCCATGTTTGTGCTCAAAACCCAACACCACCACGAAAACCATAATCATATCAAGAATAATTATTCAAGTCTAGTTTTTTAAAGGGTTGGGCTTATCGCATCGTTCCAAATATACTTAACACTTTAAGAGCCCATTTCAAATTAATCTTAAGGGTACATTTTTCTGTAAATCTTTATATCACCTCCCCGTTTGAATTATATATGTGTGTAAATTAACAGTTTGGTCGATTAAATAGCCAAATGAAATAGTCAAAACTATAAACCGGACCATACCATGCATGTTCGGCTATTTTAAAGCCAAACCGCACTGCTAGTGTCATACCCACAAAAACTAGACCAAACAATGCGTGTTTTAATTCTTACATTCTAATAAGTTTGTTGAACACCCTTAATCTCTAATTCTAACAAGATTTAGTAACTACACTTCTGCCTATTCAACACGTGTTCGCCAACGTCCCATAATGCCCCATCCGAACCATTACGAGATGGAGCATTACAAAAACCAAGTACGTACAGATAAGCATTCCTTATCAGATATTCACAATACATATCATATACTTCACGACAAACACAACAACTCATCAAATAATTGAAACATTTTCACTATAAAAGATTAGGGGGTGTTTGAGATTGCTTATTTAAAACAACTTATGTTTTTTTTGTAAAAGTGCTTATTAACTTATGTGGTATCAAATCGGAGTTAAATAAAACAAGGTTAAAATTGTTAACGTGTAATAAGCAGTTTTTCATAAGTCAATAATGATTAACTTATCAAAAACAATTTATTACCGGTTTGGCACCGCTTAAGCAGTTTTTTTTCTTATCCAAACACCAGAAAACAGATTATCACCGATGTCATACTGAAATAAGTTAAAACACAGCTTTTATAAGCAATCCCAAACACCCCATAGACTTTCATAGGATCTCTAAAATATACATTTAAGCAGATATTTTGAGACTTTTTATTTATGCCAGCAACTATATTAAAGGATATGCTGATATAGAGATGAACAAATAGAAGATACATATATCCAAATTTAGAGAAATTTATAAAACTTAATATTTATAAGAGAGAGATATTATTTGAATTGTTTTCAGTCATGAGAGCGAATGTGTTACAGTTTTTATTTTCATTTTAAAATGTATCAGGATAATAAATATATAAAATATTTTATTAATATAATTAATGTCAAAATTGTTAAAGTGAAACAACTGTTTGAGTTATATGTAACTTTTTTTACATATTTTAATTTTAAATATTTTATTTAAAAAAAGTTCGTAACATAATTATTGAAAATGCTTTTACTATATAAACTATAAATACAAAACATCTCTATTATTTATCAAATAATATATCTATACTATATTATAAATCATTTGACAAAAACTCTTAAAAATCATCTTTTATACATTAAGTATTGCTTATTGATGCATATTACTTAAAATTCAATATTACAAGTGAATTGTGCATAAGTACAACTTATTAAGCTCAATTTTGAATCCGTATAACTAACTGTAGATAAACATAATCAAATATAAGATAAAGTTATTATTTTAAATATAAAATTAAAACTATAATCTAGATAATTATTGAGTTTCAATAGAAAAAATTAGTTATTATCTTTATAAAAAATAAATTACTTCGTCATTAAATCTAAATTAAATTATAAAATAAAAAAATTGAATTAAAGAAATTACATAAAAAATGAGAACTTTTATATTTTTAATTTTTATGAAATCTTCAAATTTATATTTTATTAAGAAAAACATCATTATTTGCTCAAAACCACATAAATCCGTATTATAACATCAACAAAGATCAAGACAATAGTTAAAGACCTTCCAGCCTAGTGGTAAAGCCTTGGGCATGACATAGTCATGAACCCGAGTTCGAGCCCTGGGAGGGGAGTGTTGGCGACATTTAAGTGGGGCCATGCTTAGCCTCCAAAATTGTCGAGGATTAGTCGGGCTTTGGCCCGGACACCCTTACAAAAATAAAATAAAAAATCAAGACAATAAAACAAAACAATGAAATCGAAATATATATCTCGTTGCATTGCACAATTACCCTTCTAATAAATACAAAATCCAAAATTCATAAACTCTTAATATAAATAAACTTCCCAACCCTCTTACATTATCAAATTTATTCATACAACAACATAATACCACTTATTCCTATTGATTTATGATCATCTGGAGATCAGTCGATCCGTATAATCTGGTTCAGAATACCCAAAATCATCCAAAAAAAATACAGTAATATATGACAACGTTATACAAAAAATTATTACTATGGAATATACAATAATAACGTTACATAATTTTAAATTTATCCATAAAAATCTTTTTAACGTATTATTTGATAAAAAAAATAAATGATGTTGGACTTGTACAAGTATAGAATTCATTTTATCAAAATGTTTTTATTAAAAAGATTTTTATGGAAAAGTTTGTTGTTGTTTTTTAATCTAAGGATGATTAGACGCCGGTGGGATTGGGATTCTCGGTACCGGAGGTAGTGGGGGGAGAGGAATCGGAAATGCCGGCGGTGGTGGCGGTGGTGGTGATGGAATCACACCTGGTAGAGGTGGAAAGGGGATTAATGGTGGAAACAGTGATGCCGGAGGTGGTGATGGAATGAGAGGCGGAATCAACGACGGTGGTGATGGCTGGAATGGGAGCGGTGGAAACAGTGATGGTGGCGATGGCACGAATGGCAATGGTGGCAGCGTCGGCGGTTGGAATGGGTTTGGAGGAAATGGAAACCCAAACGTCTTTTGATCGGAAAAGTTATCAGATTCCGATGGTTTTTGGCGGGTAACGGGTGGAATTGGAATTCCGGGGATCCGTGGTACCGGAGGAACTAGCGGCGGAACTGGCAAGTCCGGCACCGGAAGAGGAGGTAGAATCCCTTCACCGATCGGCGGCAAGAACGGTGTTGCCGGATCAGGAAGCGCCGGTGGAAACCCTTTACCGATGACATCTTTCTGACTACACAATTCCGGCTTGAACGTAAAAAACCCAGCTGAGAAAACATGTTTCCCGGCCTTCTTGGACTTGAATCGAATCTCCGACGAGGTGGCGGTGGCCGCCACTGCACAGTACGGCTCGCTGCTACTAACCAGTTTAATCGAACACTTCTTGATTCTATCGACATGTTTTCCGACGGAAACTGGTAGTTTGGCTTCAAACTCACCTTTCTCATTCGTCTTCACTTCTTGCCGGAAACTTTTTAACCCATCGCCGCCGCATTCCACCGCCACCGTGGCCCCTAAACAAACAATCGAACACCATTAATAAAAATAAAAAAATTATCGAAAATTAACAACATAAAAGCTCAAGATCAAGCGTAAGAACCTGAAATGAAGTGGGTGGATTTGGAGAGTTCTTGCCGGAAGCAGGTGTCACAGTAGACAGTTCCGACAACAATGGCGGCAGAGTGGTGTTGTTTCCGGTGTCTGCCACCGGAGACGCCATTGAAGGAGAACATAAAGAGGAGGAGAAGCATGAATGAAAGCCATGAACAACGCATTGTGGGAATTGGAGGTGTTTTTGTGTATGATTCCATCTGAATTGTGGTTTCTTTTTATAAGAGAATTCAGGAGGGTTTGGACTCATTATATCAATCATGCAGAAACCAGTATAACTCCAAACCAAACCAGCAGTAAATGTGGTATGGTCAAAAACCATGTTGATGAAACCTTTTGTATCAATTTTTTTTTTATTAACTGGGATATCCAACCCGTTATGTAGTCGACTAATCCCAAGATGACTACCTACTTTGCAGATAGCATGGAGTCATCGTATTTGAACATCCGTGGCCACAAGGAGATTTTTATTCCTACTTGGATTTGAACCTAGGACCTCATGATACTTTTGACCTTTGGAGTCAAACTCAAACCAATCAAGCACCACCCTTGTGGTTAACATTTTTTTATGTATATTTATATGATAGGTGAACATGAATGAGACGTGAGACTTTGAGATAGATGATTTTTATCCAAAATATTCTTTACATACATAGATGACGTCTCATTATGTTAGAAACCTTGTTGTCTTATGTTTGACACGACATTAGATAAAGGGTCTCTTATTTACCTCTTAATGGTTCCATTAAGAGATGAATCTTGTTTGGTAAAAAAAATTAAAGTTTGCCTCTTAATGGTTCTAAAACTTTATGAATGGTTTTTTTTATCTCGAGTCTCTTTTAACCATTCAGTGTCTTAATTCCATTGTAAACAGTTACCAAACAATGAGAAGAGATTGGTTCCAACCTTACAGAAGAGAAATGGTTCAAGACGAGTCGATGTGGGACGTCAACACCCTTTTTCCAAGGAATGCTAGATGGTCACTGATTGTACCAGGCGGACCCTCTTTAATCGATACCGTGGCATTGGCTATCACTTTGTGTCTTTGTTCCTCCGTCATAGTGTAAAAACCATAGGGTCGTGAAAGGTGTTACCGTATCATTTTGTTTTGTGCAACCGTTTATATTTTGAAACTACACATGGTGAAACAAGTTTCCCTTGGTAGAGTTTTTTTCCATGACTTTTCTCCCACCTCAAACGCAGGTTCGAATCCAGTTTGTGTTATTTTTTTTTTTTTCAGTTTTTAGATTTTAATTTCAGATCAATTACATAAAAACATATACATATCTTTGTTTTTCTATAATCAAATGGTATCACCATTTGAAAACATTTATAGGTGCGTCTCTACCAGAGTGCCTAGTCACTAGAGTAATAGACATTATCTTTGATACCATATGAAAATATATGAAACCCTCTATATTTACTCTCCAAATAAGCCTTTGGAAAAAAAAAATGTTCCAACACATACTAAAAAAATGCTCCAAATTTAACTGATATGAGACTATAACAGTAAAAATTATATTTTGCAAAAAAAAAAAAAAAAAAGGTCCGGATGGATTTGTCTGAAATTATATTTACTTAGTTTTTGTCCCTTAAATGGGACCCAAATGGTTCACGGGTGTGCTTTGTTGGCCACAAAATCCATGAGTGTCAGGCTAAGGTTACGGCCATGGTTCTTGGCTCATGTGGTCATGGCTATCCTTTTGCAAACTCTCATGAAATCGAACCATTCCCACAACTTCTATCTTGACACGTGTCGAATGTCAATCAATCGACGTGACAAAACTTGGTGCATGAAGTACCCATTTTTTTTTATTTTGATGTTTGTATCTGCTTGTGTAAATATCGAATTATTTTATAGCACCTTAAAGATAACAGTTAAGAAAATTCTCAACAAATCTGATTAATACACGATATAGGAATTTGAATTTGCATGATAATACTGAAATAACGTAAAGAACAAAAGCTTTGAAACAAAGACATGACTAACAGTTGAAATGCTACAGCAAAATGATGATTTGGCTCGTTATAGGCTTATATAGCATGTCGGTTTTACTAATTGTGTATGTACTTTGGGCATTAAATATGATACACGAAAAAGGTGATATAACAATTTTGAAGATACTATGATGATAGTTACGATACAGTGGATTCGAGAAGTCGTGATGATTAGTCTACTTTTTATAGATGTAAAAGCAACCACAAGGGCTTTTATGTCAATTTCTAGATGTATATTTTTTTTATGAATTATTTTGTATGTAAAAGTTGGTAGTTTTAATTGTATAACATCGACTAAAGATGAGTAAAACTGCAGGATGATGGATAGGTTTGAGGTAGACAGTTATAGACCATACCTTGATTTGTAGCGTACATAAGATAGGTTGTTGTAATCGTATAACATGTAGACCTATAAACGAATCGAACACTCAGTGAACTGTTTGCCGGGTTATGTTTGTTTATTTAATAAACGAACGAAAATGAACAAGTTTTTTTGTTCGTTTAGTTAAACAAACAAACATGAAACAATGTCTCATTTGTTCATTTATGTTCGTTTACTGATGATAACAAATTAAAATTTAAATAATAGTTATATATATATATATATATATATATATATATATATATTTGATTCTCAACCCTTAAACATTCAAGTGATTCATCACTCACAAGTGGCTTGAGCTCATGTGGCTTGAGCTCTAGTTCGTTTAAGTCTGTTCATCCATGTTTTTTTATTTTCGTTCGTTATGTTCGTTTGTTTATGTTCGTTTAGCATATTAACGAACATACATAAATGAACACGTTTACAGAACCATTTCTTAAACGAACAAACACAAACACAAAAAAAAAATTGTCCAACGAACACGAACAAGTCTCAATTCGTGTTCGTTTGGTTCATTTCCAGGGCTAATAACATGTATGCAAATATGTCTTCTACACCAAATGATATAAGAGCCTCTCCAACATATACTCCAAAACGGATACAATGAAAATTTTGGGCTAGTTTTTACTCCAAAACAGATAAATTGAAGATTTTGCGCTAGTTTTTTTTCAAGAGATTCTCCAAACAACCTTTATCCACGATGAAAGAAAATAAGAGAGTGTGAAATTAACCAAGTTTGATGAACTCCGAGGGGAGGGGGAGGAGTCCATCTGCTCAGACATCTGAGATGTCTTCGGATCAACCTGGAAGGGAGAGATATCATTGGTAAGAAACCGAGCAGTGTTGCCATCGTAGATATTTCATTTTATTATTTATCTATGTGATTTTATAAAACAGTTTTGTATAATTTTGAAAAAACGATAATGTTTTTATGTTTGAATAAATATAGATTTAAAGACCGTATAAAAATTTATGTCATATCAGATTAACAATTTAGAAGTTCACATTTTTTTATACTTTTATAGTTCAATTTTTTTATATAGTTTACTTTAGGTTTAATAATGTAAATTTTTTATAAAGATAATTTTTAGTTCAGTTTTTATTATTATAATTTAAACTAGTTTTAATATTTTTAGATTTAATAATATAATTGCTTTATAAAGATAATAATTAAGTATTTTGTAATAACTGAATAATTATCCCAATTATGTTTTAGATTCTTTATATTTAAAGTGAGATGTTTATCTTGTATTTTATTATGTTTATCTGCAGTTATTACGAATTCAAACATTAAGCTTTAATAAGCTGTATTTATGCTTAATCAACTTGTAATCTTGAATTTTAAATAACATGTATTAATAAGCGATACTTAATGCATAAAAAGTAATTTTTAAGAGTTCATTGTAAATACTTTATAATATAGTATATATATAAGCTCTTAGAGCTAAATGCATTTTTGTTTGTATTTTCTTTTTAAATTTTAAATATTAATTTTTGATTTTATACAAATTTTGAAAAATATGTAGAAAATGCTATAACCATTATTTTCATGGGATATATATATATATATATATATATAGAGAGAGAGAGAGAGAGAGAGAGACCTAATCAAATGAGAACTAATTAGTTTGTGGTAATCATGAGGTCCAATCTTAATCACAAATTAATTGATAAATTAGAAAATTTATAGTTTTGGTAATTTTGAATTAAAATTTTAATACAAGAACATTTTAGGTATTTTAAAACTCTTCTCTCTCTGATCTCCGTCCTCCGGTGATACCACAATAGTATCATAATGCATCTTATATGTGTTTGGTTATCACACTGAGGTCGTTTGTATGGTCGATCGGAGATGTAACACAGTGTTATCACAATGCATCTTATATGTGCTTGGATATCACATTGTGTCTTTGTTTAAGAAAGTCAATATTTTTAGGTATCACCGGAGGACGGTGGCTGGAAACAGAGGACGGAGAGAGAAGAGATGAGAGAAAATACCTAAAATATCTTTGCATTAAAATTTAATTCAAAATTACTAAAATTATAAATTTTTTAATTTATCTATTGATTTGAACGGGCCCCATATATATATATATATTAATTATTTAACTCAAAAAACAAAATGATGAGGACGTTTTGTTTATAAAAAAGAGGTTTCTTTTTTTTCATCACGGGAATTGGGATTATTTGTCCGAAAGGCAAAGACAATATGTCCATTTCATCGAGTCACGAGATTGGAATTAAAATTTAATGCCCATTTTTTTTTAATTTAATAAAAAATTAATTAAATATGTATTTTATTATTTTTAATAATAAAAATATTAGACAGGTTTTAGGTTCGATCTTGAGACTGTTAATCTCAACGTGAAGTGACCCAAAAAGATATCATGTAAGATCCCATATTGATTGGGAGAGGAACTAAAGTTGCTTTATAAGAGACTGAATACCTCATTTATCAGATGTGTTGTAAAACCGTGAGTTCTAATGTAGACAAAACGGACAATATTTGATATGGTTAGCCTCAGATATTACATTACATGTCCCTTTTGATGCGGGTTTTGTATGGAACAGGTTGGTATTGTTGGTAATCAACATTTTGTCCAAAAATAATAAAACCATCAAATAGAATCGATGTGCACATGCGGCTCCACGTATGAAACCGGTTCTCAATGACCCATTTCTACCAAGCCCGATTCGGTTCAAAAGCAATTTTTCATATATTTTACGAAAGTGAATTTATAATCGAGACTGATGAAATACACTGTTAAACATGACTGCTTTCTTCAAGGTTATGTTTTAAATCAAAGAAATTATAAATAAACCCATTTTTCGACTTTAGAACCAAGCTTATTATAGACTTTGATTGCATGTTACATTTATTTCAATTTCAGTAATTAAAACATGATACATATTAAATTATCATATGATAATAATTCTATTAGTCAAGACGAAACACGTTGTTAGGGACACGTATTGTCTCACGATCAATATATAAGATGTCCTACACTGTAGAGAACATCTAAAAATACGTTCATACAAAATATGTGTGTATCTATATGTGTATGCAAGTATGTGACTCTTAAGTGCATAACTATGTTTTATGAATGTGTTTTTTTTATTAACCTGGATATCTAACCTGCTATGCGAACTGACTAATCCCAGAACGACCACCTGCTTTGTAGATAGTCCGGAGTCACCGCATTTGAACCTCTGTGGCCACAAGGGGATTTTTATTCCTCCTGGATTTGAACCTGGGACCTCCCGGTACTTTTGACCTTTGGAGTCAAGCTCAAACCAATCAGGCACCACCCTTGTGGTTAGAATGTGTTTGTATAAATACACCATGTTTTGACAGTATGAAATATTTGTTAGTATATGTGATGCCTTAATTTACATGATACGTTTTAAATGTTTTAATATGAAAACCACAAACTCAATAAGACGTATACTAGATGGAAAGGTCGTTTATTGAAAACACTTACTTTGATAAGCGTTTACCGGTTCAATAACCTTACCAGATGAATATAAGAAGAACCGAGAATCTTACTTAGTAAGAGAGAAGACAAGGATCAAAAGTCTTATCTGGTAAGTGAGGGTGATGATTTTGATTCAATAAGCAATTACTGGGTTATAAACGCTTACCATTAATCCATTAATGGCCGAGAATGTTGCCCCATAAGATAAGTGAGAGCGGTGACCTTGCCGATAAGAATTTACCCAGTAAGCATTTGGTGAACGATCCCTTAGTTCTGATTGCTTTGCATCATTTACAATATTTGTAAGAAGAGTAAGAACAAGTTGTATCGAGTCTCAGGGGACGTTTAACCAAACGCTTACTTGGTAAGAGTCGTCACCCTCACTTACCGGGTAAGACTCTTGGTTTTTGACATTGCTCTTACCAGGTAAGAATCTCGGTGTTTTTCATGTTCATCGAGTAAGATAAGTTACGCGGTAAACACTTACTCGGTTAAACGTTTGGTAAATACACCTCCTAATCGTTGTTATTTTGTTTCACATTGTTCATTTTTAGTATTTAGTATTTAGTATGCAAATACTTCAAATATATATATATATATATATGTGTGTGTGTGTGTGTGTGTGTGTAGAGGGTTGGGTTCCGATGAGAATTAATGTGAGAAACATAATGAATTTCCACCCTTAGATGCACATTAAGATGAGATGCACAGAAACAATTCCCTTATCAAACACGATCTATGAGTGAGTTTGAGATTAAAGACGATCAAGAGTCCAGATCCCTTCTGACGGTAATACGATGATTGATCCGGTACATCTAATCCTAATATGCATCCAAAAATAAAAATATCTTCTTTTTTCCTAATGTAGTTTTTTTGCAAATTGTTTAATTAATTAGACGATTCGTGTTTGTTAACACCTAAATTTCTTTATTTCACATGTTTTTAATTTTTTTATTCACGTAACATTTAATGAATATATATAATTAACATATTTAAGAAATTATTATATAAATGAAATTACGATAAATATGAATATTTCTATTTACATGACATTTGCATATAATAATATGTGCATTTTTATTTACGTAATAATAAAATGATTTTAGTCGGCATAAATAAATAAATGAAGAGGACAATCAATCACATCAATATAATACCTTATAATTGTTATCAGTTATATTATTTATATAAAACTTTTTATGTATGTTATTTGAAAAACTATATATTTTTAAATGACCAACTACGCGAGTGTCAATCATTTTCTTTAGTACAACACAAACACACACACACACATATATATATATATATATATATATATGTATGTACACCACACACATATATGTGTATATATTGATATGTAGAGGAGCGATCAAATGCAAACCACTCATATTTGTACAAACCGTGCAAACCATCATCATCCATCGATTTTATTGTTTAATTGAAGGAAATGTTTGGAACATACAACTTTTATAATGTACTCTAACACGTTTTTTTAATCATTTTGAGTCAATTACAAAGTTTGATGATGTAAACTTATTAGTTATTACTTAATTATATATACATAAAGAAACAATAAGGACGATGAAACAACTTCATATCAAGTGTAATATCAATTATTATTAGTTTAATATATGATCATCGACCGATTTAACTTCAATAAATTCTAAAGAGTTTATCGGCACCGTGCAATAAACACTGGTTGTAGTTAAAGTAACCCTTTATAAAATACCAGATATCATATTTATAGAGGTGATCATTCGCGGGCCTATACTGGGCTTAATTTGTTTTTTTGTCCAATGGGCTTAATATTGTAAATCCAACCCTTTTCTTGGGATTGACAACTTGTCATTGCCGCCCTATAAACAGGCCGGCTTGCCCACGGACTAACGGGCCTAAAAAGTCTAACTTTTTATTAACAAATGTGGAACCAGAAAGTAAAGAAAAAACACCATTGCAATTAAGACTTTCAGCAACTACTGATTCTATCAATTGTTGATTGATTAGGACTTTTGACATAAGGATACTAACAAAGATGATGTAGAGCCTTTTAGGTTCTCAAGAAAAACAAGCGTCCCAACTCTCATCCTATAACTTTAATAATTTAATTTTCAAATATAATAGTATAATTTTAATTAAATATAGTAGTATAATTTTAATTAATGGTAAAAATATTAATTATAAAACATAAACGGGCCGGGACGGGATTGGATTGTACATATTTATTTTTACATTGTACATGTCCGTCCGTTAATTTTAACAAACAAATCTGGGCCCTTCCATTTTCTCGATAATGGTTGTCCAAATCCGTATTTCTGACGGGCCAGATGAGTCGGGTTTAACGGGTCATTCCGCCCATGAACAGCTCAACGTATTTCATAGTATCTATCTTGCATTCATATTTAATGTATCACTTTTTTAATAATACAGAAAATTACATATAAGAATATCTCCAACAAATTCCGTAAAATGAAATAAAATGAAGATTTTTAAAAAGTTTTTTATTTTAACATATTTTTCAAAACATTTATCCAAAAAGGGAAAGTAGTAGATAAAATAAAATTTTCAAATTTAGACAATTTCCTGAGAATAATTATCACGAGAAAATATATTTTTTATTATATTCTGAAAACAATGAAATTAAATGATTAGAAAAAAAAAATTATATTTAATTAATATTTTAATAATATAATTAATGTTGTAATCTTAAAAAAAATGTTGAAATTAAATTTCTTCTTCAAAAAAATTTAAATTTTGATTCTTCTTTAAAAAGATTTAAATTTTTTATCGAAGATATTCTGAATTTTTCATTACTTAGGGATTGTTTAGCAGTTGCTGAATAGTTTGGTATAGAATGATTAAGTGGTCAGAATTATTAAGAGGTTCTCATGAAATAATGCAAAATAAAATATAACTGTTTGATAATTGTTTACAATGAAATTAAAGCATTGAATAGTTAAGAGAGACCCAAGATACAAAATCATTCAGAGGGTTTTAGAACCATTAAAAAACAATTTTTTTTACCAAACAAGATTCATCACTTAGCAATTTAAAAATTATCTCTTAATGAAACTATTAAAACATAAAAAACAACCCTTAATATATTTTTATTTAAAAGAACAAAAAAGTTTCACCACTAGATAGGTGACAAAGGATAGTTTTAAAGAGTTAATGTGATTTTATTCAAATTTAAAAGGGTCTAAATGGTAATATTTTAATTTCCCAAACCATATTTTCAAACAAAGGACCTATACTTTGTTTTATTTCACACCGACCCCACAATCTACACACAAAATTAAAAAAAATAAAAAATAAAAAGAGAGAGCTTACTTGAATACCGCGCGTTCTCGCCGGAAATTCCTAGAAAATATTCTAACATTTCTCGATATCGATCATCTAACCATCAAATTTCATAATCTGAAGCATCCGACTCGGATTTCTAGAGGTCTCTCTCACTGTCGTAAAGGTATTTTCTCAAATTCCTTTTGTTCTTTAGATTATATTTCCGATATCCATCGATATATGTTGTTTTGATTCCTTGGAAGCTGTTGATCATCCTCGAATTCAAAATTTGAGATGGGTTTTTATAATTTTTGTGTGTATTTGAAGAATTAGCAATCTGTATATTCCAAAATTTTGGGGTTCTTGGAATTCCTAAATCCGATTGCACGATTCGGGGTTGAAATGCGTTAATTTTAGAAAGATTACGCGATATAATTCTTAAAAACTGGATGAAGTTACGGTTGGGGTGAAATGTGGGCATTCGTGTAAGTCGTTGATGATTGATTTTGATAATGAAGCAAAAGGTTGATTACCGAAAATCTGGGTCGCACGGAACTGGCCCTAGGAAAATCTGCTAGAAAAATCCGTCTGTGAAATCCCTTTTAGTTTTTGCTACTGGCAATGTGGGTCCTGGGGAACCAGCCCTTAGGAAAATCCGCAGGAAAAATCCGTCGGTGAAGTCGCTTTATTTATTAGTGTCAAATCCGTTTCCAGCAGGATTCGAACTTGAACCTGTCGTGTATTTGAGCAAAATTATTCACCTGTGTACCAACTTAGCTACTGTTCATTTTGATATTACACCAAAGATTCTTGCAAGCCAATGATTATCCCTTTTTAATCATTGGGGGTTTTTCAAGAATAAATTTGCAAGGGTTTTATAGAAAATGATGAGTTGGGATATCTTATTTATTTATTCAGAAACTGAGCTGGGATTCATAATGTAGGTGATTTATTGCTAATTTTTGAATACTGTCTGCTGATTTCTTACAAGAATTTGGAGTATTGTTGATTTAGAGGAAGGCAGACACAAAGACTATGGCTTTATATTCTTTATATTTGAGTTTATAATTGAAAGAAAGGGTCAGGTTCAGGGGAAAATCGAAAGAAAATGAAAAACTGAGGAACACCCTAGTAACTATTCATTTGTATGGTATGTGCACGTATGCATACAAGTAATTTGTAAGTAATTTTTCGGTATGCACAGGTGCATAGAAGACAAGAAACATCTTCAATTACTTGTATGCATATGTGCATGAACAATTATTAGGGTGTTCCTCCGTTTTTTCTTCTTTTGAGGTTTTCTCTGAACCTCATTCTATATTTGAAAATGGCATGGGTTTTCTTTTACGAAAACCTGCTCTACTCTTAAAATAGAGGATATATTTGGGTACATCTCACCCTATACCCGACCTTGGGCTAGGATATAGTGGGCTCATTCGGTCTACTAATTGGAAATGGCTGTGTTAGTGGTTTATATTGTATTTTTCTATTTAATATCCGGGTTTTATGATTGAAATATTATTGGGTTTTAGTATTTTAAAAGGTACATGAACTGGGATGTAATAAGTTGTTGATTTTAGTATAAATGTTATCACTAGTATGTGCTGGTTCTTGTTTCTTGGTTAGTGTTTGCTTAAGAACAAGTTTTAGTTGACTTTTAGCCACAAAAAACTCTTCTTAGAAACAACTGCTCTACTCTTTAAGGTAGATGTCGTATCTGCATACATCTTCCCCCCCTGACACTATCTCTAGGGGGAACATACTGGGCTCGTTTGATTTGGTTTTAACTGTCTTTTCTTTTGCAGGTCGGGGGAGAGAGAGGGGGTGCAGTGGTTTGCAGAGGCACCGAAACATCTGCGAGCCTCGCGTCCTCTCTCATTTGTTGGTAAATATGCGATTGATCTAGATTCAAAGTTTTCATCATGGGTTCTGTTTGTTGCGGCTTGTGTGAGTGTGACGAGTTGGAAGATTATGCTAATCCAAACAATTCTATATATAGAAACTGCATATGCATTCGTTGTTTTCTTCAGAATTTGTTATATATGGTACGTTGTTCTTTATTGGCACCTTTGATGTTCCTAATCTCGTTTTTATGCATTCTAAACCAAATCAAACAAACCCAGTAAATCCCAAACGACGTCGGGTCTGGTCTGGGGAGGGTAAGATAGATGTATGTAGTCTTTTCCTCTTATCCAAGGAGTAGAGAGGTTGTCTTTTACGCATTCGTGTTCATCGAATGCAAAAGCTGTCTTGAGATGCCTATGCATCCTAATGTGTTTTCGAATATGTATGTTTAGTTCTAGAGTCCTACGTTAGGGGTTGTTTGGTTGGTTTTGGATTAAGACCTGTATGGATAAAGCTGTCTGTGTGGATTAATGTATGTACAAATCGGGAAGTTTTTTGTTTGGGATGGTTTTAAACTGGGAGGGGCAAGTTTGAAAAAACTTAGCTTTCTGCATAAAGCTCCCCTCTTAGAAGCTTATTGAATTAGCAATTTTCTATATCATTAAACCACTACCAAATAGTTAAACAAGTCATGTATAACTGACCGAATAAGCTGCGAGTTCCATTAGGCTTGTTAAGCTGCTAATTAACAGACCTTAGAGACTCCCATCAGTGGGTGCTTTTGGTACGTAGTACAAGGACAAAACAAAAACTTCTTGTCCCAGGTGTAGTACATAATTTAGATTGGGACCAAAAACGCATATTTTTTTCTAGAAGGAACAATAGGAAGATTAGACAAGATTTGAGAATTACAAAACTACCCATGTCAAATTAAAACCATAAAACCTTCCATAATTCTTTCACACGCCTATCTCACTCTTGCCCATCCGGTCCAGTCCAATCCAATCCTTTAGTCCTGTCTGTGTACCAAACGCACCTTTAGAACAGCGGTCGTGTATCCTTTTTGCCTATATCCTACTAACTCCCGTGGATGCAGGCAAATTACTACAACCATGTAACTGTTATGTTGAATTGTGTTTGTTTTCTGGAATTGCTATTCGTTTTACGTGTATAAATTATCGATCCTAATACTAGCGACTTATCGGTTCTTTATCTATACTAGCGCACATCGTTATTTGCGAGAGGGGAAGAACATGCCAGACTTGCAAACCCTTCTCAATGGACCTCATCTTTTGGTTCATCATTGTCACTTGACAATTCTCTATCCGACGTTTATCGCTCTCCTCCACGACCCATGCCTTATGATACCGATTCTAGGTATCTACGCCTTCAACGAGACGAACCGACCCTGAGACCGGAAAAAGGCTCGAGTCACTCACAAGAGGAAAGTGAACCATTAAGAAGTGATGGTGATACATGTGTAGATCCTTTATATGATGGACACAAACCGGACAATTTCATGGGCGAAAAAGAAGCAGAAAACCCGCAAACAAACTCGTATTCGAAGCTCTCAACTTCAAAAGAGACCACGGGATTTGCACATATTTATTCTTCACCGGAAGAAGACGAAGATGTTTGTCCAACATGTCTTGAAGGTAATCGAGATCCTTAAATATATGAAAAGTTTTCTACAGTTCCTAAAATCATTTTGAAAGTTGGTTCCCAAAATAGGAATCGGTCAAAAGCTGCTTCCATTTTGATGCAATTTTTCCTTTTTTTAGAACTATATTGTGTCGTATAATCGTAATTTTTGTGTACTACGTTAATGCAGAATATACTGTGGAAAACCCGAAGATAATTACGAAGTGCTCTCATCATTTCCACCTTGGTTGCATATACGAGTGGATGGAAAGAAGTGAAACTTGTCCGGTTTGTGGCAAGGTAATGCATACTTACGTATACTTACGTGTTTAAGCTCTCGAAAATGCATTTTTATCTACCTTCGTTTTTGGGCTCGTCCTAAAAGAAGCGGCTAGTAAGGTTATTTTGTGACCGGAAGGTCAAGGTTAAAGCCCGAAGACAATATAAACCAAACGAAGATAATAAGGGTCTGTTAGTTGGTTTTCTATTAAGTCCTATATAATAATATGTTTATGTGGATTAATCAGTTTGTATAGATTGAGAAGATTTTTGTTTGGGAGAGTTTTTTCATAGATGGAAGGGGTGTGTTTTTCAATTAAGAGGGGGAGGTTTGGAAAAAAAAACATGGCCTTCTGCATTAAGCTCCTCCCAAGAAGCTTATTGAATAAGCCACTTTCTATTTCATTAAGCCACTAGCAAACAGTCATGTATAGCTGAACAAATAAGCTGCGAGTCATATTAAGCTCATTAAGCTGCTAATAAATATGCCCCAAATCCCACTCATAGGTAGGATGCATGGAAACTATATGGCTATACCCCAAGGGGTAGAGAGGTGGTTTTCTCAAGCCTAGAGATGGTCTATATGCAAATTGTATGAATAAAACAGTGGATTAATATGTCTGTATAGACTGAAAAAGTTTTTGTTTGAGTGAGTTTTTTCTTAGATGGAAGAACTGTGTTTTTCAATTGGGATGGGTAAGTTTGGAAAAAACTTGGTTTTTTCCATAAAACTCTCCCCTAAAACCTTACTGAATAAACCACTTTCTATATCATTAAGTAACTACCAAACAATCATATATAACTGACCGAATAAACTGCAACATCGTTAAACTAATTAAGCTGTTAACAACAGTCCCTGTGATTGTATCTTGATGTGGGTGTTTTTGGGTTTTTTCAGGTGATGGCATTTGATGAAACCACTTGAAGCTTTTCCTGCTGTGAATGAAAACAAAATCCCAGAAAGAAAAGAGGCTGTAAATTATTTGTGAATATGCTTAGGTTCCAGAATGTTCTTGTTTTTTTCTTCCATTTATTTATATACATCATGCATTAAAATTATATTGCAAATTGAAATTTATATTTATTTAAAATTACGAGAGTTTATTTATCATGATCGGGAGGTTTATGGAAGATGATCATAGCTTATTTATCATGATTGATGTTGTTTATGGAAGATGATCAGAGTTTATTTATTATGATCAAATACTTCAAATTAGGAAACAATCAAGATATTTATGAAACCAAATAGCTGTTAGCCTAAATGAAGAGTTGGGATTGGTTTATATGAATTAAGACGTTTGCAAGTAATTGAGATTCTAAGTGGTCGTTGGCGAAAGATCGTGTGGTTTGAGGCAAGATGATTAAATAGTCAGAATGATTAATAGGCTCTTATGATATAATGTCAAATAAAATATGGTTGTTGGGTATTTGTTTACAATGAAATTAGGGCTCTGAATGGTTCAGGGAGATCCAAGATATAAAATCATTCAGAGAGTTTTATGATCATTAAGAAACAAACTTTTTTTTTTGCCAAACAAGAATCACCTTTTAATGATTCAGATACTGTCTCTTAATGAAACTATTAAGAGGTAAACAAATAAACGTTAACTCTCTTTCTTATTGGAACCCAACCCAAGAGCCGTTTACCCAAACACTTTTAGGAAGAGTCAATATTCTAACTTAATTTACTAGGTAAGATTGTAGTTCATTAAAGCGGTATCTTATGCAACAATATACCTGGTAAGAGCTTACCAGGTACGAGTCATCACTCTCATTTACCAGGTAAGACTTTTTATCCTTATCATCGTTCTTACTGGATAAGATCCTGGACACTTGTCATGTTCATCAGGTAAGATAAATGATCCGATAAAGTGTTTAATAAACTACCCCTAAAAATATAATATGTTTTCTTAATTAAATTAAGTATATAACATATTGTTTAATTTAGGGAGAAGTTTATACAAACCCAAGAAACTATTTCATTTTGAATTATTAAGTCGTTGAACTATTTTTTAAATTAAAAAATCATTAAACGTTCTCATTTTGAATTATTAAGCCCCTGAACTATCTTTTTGAATAAAAAAACCATTAAAATTTCCCATTATGAATGATTAAGTTGCTGTTTGACAGTTGCTGAATGGTTTAGTGCAGAATGATTAAGCGGTCAGAATAATTAAGAGTCTCTCATGATATAATGTAAAATGAAATATAATTGTTTGATAATTATTTACAAGCAAATTAGGACGCTCAATGGTTAAGGGGGGCCCATGATACAATATCATTCAAATGGTTTTAGAACAATTAAGATGCGAATTTATTTTTGCCAAACAAGATTTAATTCTTAATGATTCAGAGGTTGACTCTTAACGAAAAAAGTCCCTAAACTATCTTTTTGAATGAAAAAACCATTAAACTTTATAATTTTGAATGATTAAGTCCCTGAATTAATATTTTAAATAAAAAAACCATTAAACTTTCTAATTTTGAATGAAAAACCATTAAACTTTCTCATTATAGATGATGAAGTCCGTAAACATTTTTTCCCCTATAAATTAAACCATTAACTTTTTTAATTTTCAGGTGATTGTTTGTTTTCTTTTATTTAATTTTTAAGACTAAATAATATTAGGGGTCGTTTACTAAGCACTTCATTGATAAATGTTTACTGGATAAAATTTTTCATCGGATGAACATGAGAAGAGCCAATAATCTTACCGGGAAGGATGAAGAGTCTTACCCGGTAAGTGAGGATGACGACACTCTTACCAAGATAAGCGCTTACTCAGTAAATTGTTGTATTCTATATGTTTTGATGCACTAAAAATCTTATGCATCAAAATAAATTATAGAGTCGACTCCTATCGATAAACGCTTATTGGGTAAGCATTTGGGTAAACGGCGCCTTACTCTTTGTAGAACAGATGCATTTTTAAGGTGGATCAAAAACCTGCAAAGTCGTTCGATTTTGTTCTTAGCCGAAGTCCACCATTTCGAAGGATGTCAAGTTTTTTGGTTGATTTCAAGAATTTCTCTTTGAGTACTTTTGTAATCTCAAGAGGCTTTTTTCAGCTTTTTTGGTTGATTTCGAGGTACTTTTTTTGGATGTATCAGGTTTTTTTGGTTGATTTGAATCACACTTTTGCAAAACAACTTACCCCCCCCCCCCTCAAAGCAGCCCGGTTAGACGTACATGGTTTTAAAAATGAGTTACGGATATGGTCCATTAGTTAAACAATAAAAATGTAGATGTCTTAACATGGTATCAGAGTCAACATCTGACACTCATCGTTCTTGGGGGCACTGCATAACTTCGAATTCAGGGGCGTGTTAAATCTCATTTCAACTAGACACAATACAACAAACTTGTTTTTTTTTTTTTTGTGTGTGTGTGTGTATATATATATACATATATAGGGTTGGGTTCACGTGAGACCAACCTATTTTCGTGAGACCCGTGAGACAACWTTTTTACATTTGAAACTTCACAGTAAAACGCTGTGAAGGTAAAAAAAAAGAAAGCCAAATCTTCACAGCAAAAACACTGTGAATGTTACCTTCACAACGTTTTGCTGTGAAGTTTCAAGTGTAAAAAAATGGTCTCACGGGTCTCACGAAAACAGTTTCGTCTCACGTGATCCCAAGTTTATATATGTATATATAAACGTCCGTTTCTCTAGAATCAATGTTTTAGAGAGACAGAGAGAGAGAGAGAGAGAGAGATTTAGAATAGTTCCATGTATCCTCTAACACCATGCATAATCTGAGATAGAAATGAATCGTTCATAAAATCTACTTAACTGTTACTTAAATATCAGAAGCTGGTTTAATTAACAGTCTGAGCTTTCTCTTACCCTTTTCAAAACACTGAAAAATACATAAACAATAAACAGTTCCAAATTTCTGGAGAGAATGAAGTTTGACAACCTTAAATCGTACACACACAAAAAAAACAGCTTTAAACTTTGTAAATTAGAAAAAAAGGTTGTTTTTTTTGGTAGGTTCTTACATTCCCCATAATTCAACCAAAAATTATTAGAATCATGTTTATTGTAGATTTTATATCACCAAAAAAAAAAAGAAAAAAAAAAGAGGAGAGGGTTGACCATTTTGCTGCTTCATTGACCATGCCAAAATCAAAGTCAAAGTCAAAGCATCCATCCTGGGACTATTCCATTGACATTCTGTCCACTTGTTGATGCATTTATCTGGCTTGAACCTATTGTGTTATACCTGAAATTTTTTAGTTTTAAAGATTAAAAATATATATATTTATATATAAATTAATACCTTGTAAAAAGTTAGATTACCGACAACCTTAACTGGTTTCATATGAAACTGGTCTCCAAAGAAACCAATGTGAGGAACATTTTTTGGCTCACTCAGTGACCGAGGCTAGCAGGGAGCCTAGGATCGAACCCAAGACGTGTCTTGTATTTGGGCAAAGTCATCTCACTCTTTTGTCAACTGAGCTACACGCTGGATGCAATTAACGACACCTTCATATTCTTACTATGTTTTATAAAGAATTTCTAATTTTTTATTCTATTTATGAAATGTCTAAAATACCCTTCAATACTTAAAGGAAGAGTATCGGTTTTCTCTAAGGATAGCTACACGACGTGCAAACAGTAAACTTGGAGAACTTTTTTTACGGAAAAATCAATCAAAGTGCAACAAAGTTTAATTTAATTGAAGACTTTTTTTTCTCGATCGATGTATATAATACATCTTAATTTTTTTCTATTTTGTATCTATTTTGACCGATAACTTGCTGATATTATAACATCTGATGACAAGAATATCTGTGTACGAAAGGATTACTGTTAAATGGACGATATATATGGTATCCATCTCATCAAATGGTACATGATTTAATCAGTCATAGTACCGGTCAAAATAGATATAAACTAGAAAATTTTCGAACTTTGTGACGTTGATCTAAGAAAAGTTTATTTGTTACGGTAAATGTGAACTGATAATGCAAACCTCATTGCATTTCGATTCATTTTGCCCAATTTTATGTATCATACTTGACTATCAAGTTACGGAAATTGACTTTTTTACAACCAATAAAAAGCATTTTGCAAAATGGATGGTTAATTAAGGTTGATTCATGTAAGAAGGTTAAATATTATAAAAAGGTAATAAATGAAGATTCATAAGTGAATATATTGAAAAAGTCTAAAAAAATCTATTTAAATGTATACATAGGGTTGGGTTCACGTGAGACCAAGTTGTTTTCGCGAGACACGTGAAACAATTTTTGTACACTTGAAACTTCACAGCAAAACGTTGTGAAGGTAAAAAGAAGCCGAACCTTCACAGAAAAAAACATTGTGAAGGTTACATTCGCAACATTTTGCTGTAAAGTTTCAAATGTAAAAAAGTTATCTCACATGTCTCACGAAAACAGTCTGGTCTCACGTAATCCCAAGTCTATATACATATGTGAATCAACGTTACAGATTATTTATATGTGTTCACTTATGCATCTTTAAATTGATTTTCAATAATTCACATATGAATATTTTCTTAACCTTCCATTATTATCTTCGCGATATTTAGCCTTCCAATTTGAACTTTCCACCGCATGATTATTTTGTACGAGTTTAAAAAAAATGGGGTCATTTTGCCATATGAAAGTACCTCTCAAAATGGTTATTTTAGTAATTAACCCATATAATAAGTGTAATCTACATCTTTATAACAACTAATGATTTTAAAAAGATTTGTTTCTATTTATACCGGAAGAGTGAGGTTCAAGGGAAACTTACAAAAAAATAAAAAACTGATGAACACTCTAATAATCATTAATCTGTACAGATGAATGATTATTAAAGTGTTCCTCAGTTTTTCATTTTTTTCACAGTTTCCCGTAAACTTATCCCTATATCATAATGTGGAATTGGGGATTTTAGTTAAAGATTAATTACCCAATTTGCAAATTGGAGTTGCAGTCTAGAGGCTGGAAGAAGCCTTGAGGTTGAGGATGCTGATCCTGGTGTTGATGATATGAATGACCATTTTCACCTCCTGCCCACGACGGTCCTGCTTGGTTTTCTGCATAAAACTCTTCTAACTGCAATATTAACATACATAATTTGAGATATTAATCTCTTTAACGATTTAAGGACTGTTTGACAATTGCTGAATGGTTTGGTGCATAATGATTAAGTGGTCAGAATGATTAAGAGGCTCTCATGATATAGTGCAAAATGAAGTATTATTGTTTGGTAATTGTGTACAATGAAATTAGGGCTTTTAATGGTTAAAGGAGATCCATGATACAAAATCATTCAGAGAGTTTTAGAACCATTAGGAAGCATATTTTTTTTTTTTGCCAAACAAGATTCACCTCTTAACGATTCAGAGGGTGCCTCTTAATGGAGCGATTAAGAGGTAAACAAACAACCCCTTAATTTGGATTAGTTAAGTGTCTAAATACATGTATTCTTACCTTATTCTGCAAAGCTTTGTTAGCTTCAAGCCACATCCTTTCCTGTCATTGACTCAATTGTAATTACTTATACAAGACACACGATCGTTTACAAACCCAATAAATCGTACAAACGTGTGAAAATGCAACGATTGTATAGTGTTGTTTCATGTGTGAAACATTTAGGACGGTCTTGTGTGGTGGAAAAAACAGTGTCGAACGTTTCACATATGAAATAACATTGTATATGTATGAATTATTGAATTTGTAAGAGAATGGGACTCTAGTTATATAATTATAAGTGCAATTAAGCAAAACTTGAATCTTGAAAACTAGAAGTATGATACCTTAACTTGAAGTTCAGAAAGCCTATCCAACATTGATTGAGTCTGCATGTATTGAGCATAAGAACATATGGGTATGTATGTATAAAGATCCAATTTTAGACATAAAGAAGCTTCCATTTTCACTAAGATCATATGGGTATGTAAAAAGATCCAATTTAAGACATGATAAAAGAAGCTTCCAATTTCATTAAGATGATATGGGTATATAAAAAGATCCAATTTAAGACATAATTAAAGAAGGTTCCAATTTCATTAAGATGATTATGGAAAAGGATCCAATTTTAGGCATAAAGAAGCTTCCATTGTCACTAAGATGATATGGGTATGTAAAAAAGATCCAATTTTAGGCATAAAGAAGCTTCCAATTTCACTTAAGATCATATGTAAAAAGATCCAGATGAAGACATAAAGAAGCTTCCATTTCACTAAGATCATATGGGTATGTAAAAGATCATAGTTAAGACATAATTAAAGAAACTTTCATTTTCACTAAGATCATATGGGTATGTAAAAAGATCCAAATGAAGACATTAAGAAGCTTCCATTTCACCAAGATCATATGGGTGTGTAGAAAGATCAAATATAAGACATAAAGAAACTTCCATTTTCACCAAGTTCACATGGGTATGTGAAAGGTCCATTTTAAGACATAAAGAAACCTCCATTTTCACTAATATCATATGGGTATGTAAAAAAGATCAAATTTAGGACAAAGAAACTTCCATTTTCAGTAAATTCATATGGGCGTGTCAAAAAAGGGATATTTAGGTATATAACCTTAGAGGCGAAGGAACGTGTGAGAAGTGAAGTTACGGTGAAAAGCGTAAGAAGAGATCTGAAACCTTGATCACTTTTAATCTTATGCCTACCATGAATTGCGCTTTAGAAGAGAATTGATTACATGCATCACGGTGCACCTCATTAGTGTTGACATTCAATTAGGATTGATCCAAATATGGAGATTTCTTCTTACGCTTCTCACCAGAACCCAACATAACCTTATTTAGTGATTAAGTATGAAATCAATGTTTATTTAATAGGTCAGAAGGAGATGAATTTAATTAAAAACTCATTTAAGGTTATATCCTAAACTGACCTATGTATAAAGATCCAATTTAAGACAAAGAAACTTCGTTTTCTCTAAGATCATATGGGTATGTAAAATGATCCAATTTAAGACAAAGAAACCTCCATTTTCACTAAGATCATATGGGTATGTAAAGAGATTCAATTTTAGACAAACAGAAGCTTCCAATTTCATTAAGATCATATGGGTATGTAAAAAGATCCAATTTTAGACATACAGAAGCTTCCAATTCACCAAGATCATATGGGTATGTAAAAAGATTCAATTTTAGACATACA